ATCTACCGGCTTGGATGTGGATGCGTTCCAAAGCTTTGCCAATCTGGTCCAGTCTGATGCGCCAATAGTTCTTTGAGCTTGTAACAGTGTCGGCCCAGATACTTACAATCGGGAACGTGAATGGGTAGACAGTGTGGATCAATGAATAAGGTGAGACTCGGATATATCAAAGGATAAAACGATAGGGATCCATATAACTCAGGATCCCGTCTTTATATATACGTCGAGTAATAGGGGGCTAGCTATCGTCTAAGTATTGATCTACATCATAACTTCTATCTAGAATATCCACGCCTATTACTCCATATTCAACCATGCGGTTGACCGCAAGTCATCCTATCGTCTGAACCATGCGTTGTCGATCGTCAACCATGCAGGTTGGATATCGTCGTAACGGTATGCACCGTTACAGAGCTGGTCCATGGATGATTTCTTAAAACTTTTCGAATTCCTGCTTCGTGTGGACAGGGGTAACAGCATACTTTGTTCCTTGTTTTTGGGCAAGAAAGATGTAGCACTTATTCAAAGGATTGGCCGTAGAACCAGGCGGTAAGAAGATGTTGATACTCATGTTGAGAGAGTATGGCCGAGGTTTGAGCGTATTCATTTGGTCGCGATGCTCTTCGTTGTTTCGTTCTTCTGCTGAAGACATGTCTATCCCAAGTGTGCGAGCAACGTCAGGTGCAAATACTGCAATACCAAATGTCTCGCTGCACTCTTTCAGGTTCAAACCTTGGACATGGGCACCCGCTTGCTCCTCAATAGCACCACCAGTGCCGAAAATCCCAAGCTTCATCCGTAGGTATACCAATGCTTCAATCAACCATGGATCATAATGTCCCTTGTACTGACGTAAATATCGATTCATAGTGCCGACCTGCTATATAAGGTATCTCAATATCAAAACTAATTGATTTCAGTGGATATCACCTCTTACCTTCAAGTTATGACGAAGTCGATACTCAGCAAGAAAGCAATCAGCCAAATGTGGTCCGACACCGCTAGAACCAATAGCACGGATAATGTTTTGATGGACTCCACCCTCTAGAGAGTTTGTTCCACGGGCACACCGATAAAGGGGAAGGTTTGCTTTTTTGTCGTATCCAATTTTATAGTACAGCGGCATATTGGGATGATCAGAAACTTGGCCTTCATATATTGCCTTGAGCATGTTTTGGGCTTGACGGTGGGCATCATTATCAAACAATTTCCTTCCAGTTCTGGTGCAAATTAGGTTACTGTATGTATTCAGCAAAAAGTTTTTGGACTTTAGGACCGAGCTCGTGTGGTGGTGGGACGATACGTTTCACTCTTCGCATAACCCAAGATGGATTCGTGTTCAGCATGTATTCCCATGTAATGTTTTTAGTCGCTAGATATTGCTCCACTTTTTGCCGATCTTCTTGGTGCACAACAAAGATAGCGTTGCGTAGTTGCCGGGAGAATTCTTTTGCGAGAACGTGCCGTTTGGGTATCTTAATAAGCGCCATGAAGTGATAGATGTCTTTTAGGATTCTCGAATATACTGGTTGCTGCTGGGTATCCTGCGCATAAATATTTGTGAAGTTGAAGCTTGAAGAGTCGGAACATGGTATATTCGATGTGCTTTGTTCATTGGAGTTGTCATTGGGTTCGTGTGATGTTGACGTCGAACAAGAAGATGTTGACTCCTGATCACTATCGTCTGGTATACTGTCGGTTATATGAGGTGTATCGTGCATATCGTCAGGTATGTTGGCTTGTGATCGGTTGTTGCCTTGATGCGGTGGTTGCTCTCTCCATAAACATAGCGACTTTTTTTTTTGAGTGTGCGAGTCAAGAATTGCGCCAGGAACACAAACGTGATTGATCGATAAATATGCCATGTTGTCGTCGAATGTTATCTAGTAATTCATGAAGAGAAGCACATGTTGTTAATGAATCATACATTTCTTCCAAAGAATATTACGTAAATCGTAAAGTACCTGCTGCTCATTGTGTAATATCTCGCCATATGCAATTGGAAATGAACATTGAAGACGGGAATAAATAGCAACGTACCCACCATGCGGAGGAGGATTTAGTACAGTTTTACCCAGTGTACGAAAACACACAAGCTTTGTATATATCGCCAACGACGCCCACGCGTCCAGCGCTGCATAATACACTTGATTCTCGGAAAGATCTTGTAATTCTCAGTTGCTGTCTCTATCATTTTTTTCGATCCTACCCCCAAGTACTTCTTCAGCAATTGTAGATAGTCCTACATTTCCATTTTCAATGAAGCCTCGTCTACGAGAGAACTTGCCGAGCTCCAACCCCGTGCCTTCATGATAGTCTAGTCCGTAGTCGCGCTTTAGTTTTTTAAAGTCACCACTAACATTACGGCCAGCTTTTAGGACCTTGGACGACTTTAGAAGAGTTTCGATAGAAGGAGGAATATTATTATACTGGTGGATTGGCAGGATAAAGACGTAGCTCTAAACCACAAGTTATTTTGTTAGTGTGAAGCTGTAACTTGCCAAAACGATAGTGTAACAGAACATAGCCAATACCTTGTATGCTAACTGTAATATTGCCACTTTGCCAGGGGAAGCATGTCGACTGAAGTTCCATTCGCAACCCAAGCCAATTACAATCGTTTGTGGATCAATATCACACAAGATGGTGTTCGTATTTTTTCTTCAGCTTCGGTTTCATTGCGTATGTAGTGCGTAGTAATAAAGGTTGGCAGGTGTAATATGTGATTGTTGCGGGTAGATTCAGTTAAAGTCAAACTGTTCATCTTGGGACCGTTCTTCAATGAGCTGATATTATCAAGTAGGAACGCCTTGTTTCCCCGGACGTTGTCAGTAAAAAATAGCTGCGGTGGTTTATACCCGTACATGTCGTATGTTTTCATCATTTCCTGAAAAGGCGTCTGTAAATGCGATAATGACTTGGTGGGGACTAGCAATTGCATTCGTGTCTCCTCATACTCGTTACATATAGTATATAGAGCGCCAAAAGTCGGTGCGTCACCCATTTTTGCAACTTTCTTCAGAAACTTGAATGTGTGGTCTCCCTTGAGTATCTCTCCATCGATAGTAACCATCTGCTTGTCCATAATTGGCCGAAGAACATCCATGATAGCATTGTATATGAGTCGAAAATATGGTATAGAAGGGACGTATCCAGCGTATCCTTGAGAATCCTTGAATGTCGAGAACTCAGGGTAGCTTCTGATGCGATTTTCGGTCTCCTTGTAGGTTGGGTTCGTTCGACGATGTATTTGATATAGGGTGTATATGATATGCAGTCGGATATGGCGTTTGAGGTGCAGCTCCTGTAGCATATCTTGAAAGTTTGCAACTCCCATACCGTGCTGCATACATGGTCGTAAAATGTCAATGAGATCCTTAAAGATAGCACACCGATAGGAAAAAATGGCGGGAGATTCTGCTGCTAGTTCGTCGGGCAGCTGTTTCAAGATTTTTTCATCGTGTGCACCCTATGAGGCATGACAGGTTTTGCATTCATATCGTCTTGACATAATATAAAAGCATCTTTCAAACACATAAATGAGGGAACCATAGAAATACACGAGGAAAGTACAATAGCTTGGGATTTAATATACTTTCGTCTCGTAATGCAAAATAAGGCGACTTTGGCTCAATCCAAAAAGTTCCATTCTTGTATTCCCTTGGATAACCACCATCTTTGGTCTTGATACGATCTTGGATACTTAAGAAATACTGGGCGAGCACTCCGAAACTTTTTTCTTTGTATCCCCTGTCGTCATCATTGAGTGTTTGTGCTTCGTCAGGGATGGGATCTTCCTCGTTTTCCACGCCAGTATCATAATTAGTATGATTTTCTTCCTCTAATTCGTCGATCAAGTCCTTTAAAGTATAGTTATCGTCATCCACACGAGCCTATATAATCGATACAATAAGTATATATATGTGGTGGCCCTTTCCGGATACAACCTGTTGGGAGGAAACTTCACAGCTTGGTTGCTCATTGATATCGGGTGGTGAGGCTGTGGCCTCAGCGCTTGTTGTGTCCTGTTGTTCTGAAGAAAGGTAGCGCGAAGGAACGTATTGCATCAAGCTCGTCTGACCGCGAGCGCGAGCCGAGGAGGATTTCTGCTTTTTATTTTTGCTACCTAGAGGTCTACCGCGACGACGTTTTCCATCTGACCGAGAAGTAGAATCATTCATTATTTGTCAAATACGTTATGGAGGAGGTGATAGAGTGGGAAAAAAATACAAGACGAAAGACCAGTGTAAAAGTGCAATGGTTGACAGGAACAATCAAAACGCCAACTGATATACCCACACACAAGCGCTACACAGCCGTTAACTTGTTATCTCATTGGCTACCCTCACACTTTGCACCCAGAGAGCAGTTGCTTAACTTTTAATATCATTGGATGAGAGTCCACCCCAGTAGCTTTAACCCCGCCAAAAAAATAGACTATAAAATAACGCGCAATGTTTGGGTACTGTGTATCTTTAACTCTTCCATTGCACAAAAATCAGAAAGGAGCGTGTGTTTTTTGTGTGTTCCAAAATCAAAGAAGCATTTACATTGCCGAAGAAGACAAATCGATTATACAATTCGAGGATTAATCCTGAATATACATATGTTGTTTTATTCGAACAGAGAACTGAGGCAATTGCTTTTTTGACTGGAACCCAAAAACGCTATTTCTTTCTTTTTTTGGTCCTGGGAGAATTCGATCCTTCCTTTTTTTTTTTTTCCTTTGGGTGAGATGGAAAGAAAAGGAAGAACACCCTTGATCTTTGGCCAGTGATGAAAATACGCAAAAGTCGAAGTTTTTTTATAAACAGTGTGACTTGAAATATATAGTTTTCAATCAGAGGTGCGAAATGGATACAATTCTTTTTCGAGTCAAGGGGTGATGCTTTCTTTGCGTTTCCATATATTATACTCAAAAACAGAAAAAAGATGCGATCGAACAATAATGCTTCAAATGATGACTCATAAAGGCGAATGTGATGTAAGGTTTTACGTTCCTTGCAAATGTACTCATTCAAGAGATATCGTCTGATGGAGTTTTTTTTTCTACTATTGTAAGGTGTCTTCTTTATATGTAAAATGACTTTTATGTTAGCAAGTGCCGTGTGTGTGTGTGTGTGCGTGTGTGTGAGTGTATTTATAGATGTGTGTGCAAGTACTGAGTGCAAAGTTAGAGTGAAAGGGTTTGGGGGATAGAGGTAATGGAGAGACATGTACAGCGTAATAAAGAAAAGATTACGTTATTGTTCTGTTTTTGTACACAACGTTTCAACTTCTGGCTTTATCTCGTCATCGTCGTAAATGGATTTGGTGGGCAGAACGAGGTTCTTTTCATCAAAGATAGCTCCAAGTTCAGTAATACACATGGTGCGTTTTTCCATGGCTGCGATCGTGTGTTCAGATAATGCAGCTTTGGGTGCGGATCCAGACTTGCGTTTTTTGACTTTTTGCACACGCTGTATACAATAATACGTGAGAGAATATATGGGAAAAGAAAGGGAAGGTGAATAAACGAGTGGTCAACTCAATAATGCTAGATAGGCACTTACAAATCGCTTCATGTAACTTTGTTCCACTTGCATGTCTAATACATCCAGTACTTGGCGGTATTGATCGTATTGTAATTGGGTATCTACAACTTGCAGCAGCCGTGCTTTGCGAAACTCGTTCACCTTAATTTGCTCTTGAAGCTCCTTCCCCAGTTTCCGAAGCTGCGCTGAAATCTCATCGTCTTCCCTTGCATTCCAATCCATCTAGATAATGCATACGTCCATAGATAAGAAAGAAAACAGTTAGGAAACAAACGCACTTGTAAATCTCTTTTTTGAAAACTGTGAATCCTCACTGCCCCGATGCAATCATATTATTTTACCTCGTCATCCTCATCATCGACATGATTGCCATTACTACTACCATTACCGCTACGTAGCAATCCAACATATTGCAACTCGCGCTTAAGCCGTTCTTCCAGCCCAATAATTTCATCATCATCATCCTCATGCATTGCCAGTTCCGTATCAACACACTCGACTTCTGTAATCACTTTGTCGTCCTCTTCATCGTCTGTTGTTGTCATTGTGGATGTTGCTGCCGTTGTTATGCTGCTATTGGTTGAATCCATCGACAGTTTTCGGGAAAGATTGCTCTCGCTATTACTATCGTCATCGTCATTGTCGTCCTCTCCTTCTGATAGGATGGCATCCAGATCCATCGGTTCAGGAATCAAACTGCTCATTAATCGTCCTAGTAGAGTATTGCCTGCTGTATCGTTCAATGTATTTGTTGCTGCGTGGTCATTACTGTTGTTATTATTGGCATTGAAATCATCAGTGATAGTATTTGTGTGTGCTGTTGTGTTAAAAAAAGGATTTGGGTATCGAGATCGACGCGTCGACGACGAATATGTAGAAGGAGGGGCAGTTGTTGTTGATGTTGTGGTGTTGGAGATAGAATTAGACATTGACGTGTCATCGTAAAGTAATATCCGTTCTTCTTCTGCCCATTTGTCGAGATAAAACTGGCCGAGTGATGGTATCTCATATGGCGTGACAGAATCTGTTGGCTATGTATACAACATGATGCCGCAAGGTTAAGAGAACAGTTGCAGCGACCACTTATCTCTCCTTTATCCACTTCCTCGTCCGGGAAAATGTTACCTTTTCCATCAAATACTCTCGGTCTTCCTCGGTGAAAGGTCGAAAGTACGGCTCCATGGCAGTCCAAAATGTCGTAATAGGTACTTGATTGTTTGGCTTTACGCGAATATAATCCAGATCGTCATCCATTGTTGCTGCATTCTTTTGCTTTTTCGGGTGATGATGATGATGATTATTATGATGATCGTTGAAATGGTTTAGTTTTTGTTGTTGCTGTTGTTGTTGATGTTGCTGCCGTCGTTTGCCATTATGTACAGCATGATCGCTGCCAGTACTTTTCTTCTTTCGAATTTCCTAAATGATATTGTGTATGAATGGATCTGCTGCATAGATGCATAAATGCGTGCACGCGCGTAATTGTAAAGTAAAACATCTGCATTATTTCTTTATGTTACCTGTTGATAATTGGAGAGTTTGACATTTTCATCTATCGAGGGAGAACCGCTTTTCTGTTTAATAGGAGAGTCGTCTAGAGCCGGCAACACTTGACAAAAGAGAAGGTTCAAATTTTAAAGACGTTCTCTCGTAAGATATTGACCCCTCCTCTTCCCCACTCTTCTTTGCCCAAAAAAATAAATTGTCTATGACAGTACCTTGCTCGTCATCTGTATCATCTCGTCGTCTTCGTTTTTTTAACGCTTCCAGTGCACTGTATATGTATCTAATATGTTAGATATCTGTACCAACCGTTCATTGTGCCAAGAAAAAAAAGCGCACTCACGCTTGACGTTCCAATTGGTTTTTAGAAACTCTCGATATATTGGTGCGAAAACTGTTATTCTCTTGAGAGTCGTCTATAAAAAGCAGTTAAAGTTATTTATATAAATCTCGTAACGAATTGAGACAGCCAGCTTGAAACATTGGGTGTTCCAACTTCAATCATAACTTTTTTTTCTTTCTTTCTTTTACCTGTTACAAGGGATGCACGCTCTTGTTTGCGCATTCTTTCCATGACAACATTCATATTTTTGCCTCCTGTAATTCGTTTGGACGGTTGTTCTATACAACAAGGGAAATGAAAACATCAAACAAAAGGAAGAAGCAGCAAAAGGGTAAATAAAAGAATATTATAAAGTCAAGACAACAACAACAGTTATGCTGTTTTGTATGTGTATATATCGAACACATGAATATATGTATAAATAGCAGTAATATGTAGAGACCTTTCTCGTGGTGAACTTTAACATTGTCGAGTAAATGAGCGAGATCTCGTTGTAAACGTTGAGCACGCGTCTCGGGCTCGTTGACCATATTCTCGAGGTCTTGCTTAATGTTAAAAAGATCGAGTGGTTCTGGAATGTCTCGAAGTGGCGAGGAGGTCAGATTGGTGGGAGGATTGATATATTTATGGTATTGAGGCAATGTCGTGGACAAGTGTGTAGGCGGGCGATATCTTCGTTCTGTGCTACTGCCGTTCATGATTGTCTCATTTGACGAAAGAGAGGGTTACTCGAAGTAAAAAAAGAGTGGAGAAGAAGTCGTGGAAAACTTCCAGGAACTCGAAACAAGAGAAAACGAGAGGCAAAGAACCGTGCGTTGCGAATGGCGACGAGGTTCCAAGTAGTAGTATAGTAAGCATGAGACTCCGAAACATTACTTGATATGCACCGGAGAAGCCACCACCTTTTTATATTTTTACACTTTACCTTTCTTTCTTTCTATTTCGTCAACACATAATGGACACACAACCTAGTACGGCCAAAGTTGATCCTAAAACTGCTGTTGCAGGTGTTGTTGATACGGTCAATCGACGAGTATCAGGTATGTCGATTGTTAGAGTGAGATTGTTGATTGACTTGTTTACTGATCTATAAAAAAAAAAACTTTTTTTTCTATCAATTGTTGTAGGCAAAGCATGGAAACTTCAAAAAACTGCCACAACTCGATCACAAAAAGCAAAGACGCTTCGAAACTCTTGGGCTAAGCGATCAGCAGTGCGAACGAAAATTAACCAAGTCAAGGCACTTGAAAAGCAAATGAAGGACGAGAAACAAGCAGAAAAAGACGTAAGTTGTTCGAGCCTCCTTTCGAGAGGGAGTGGGCGCCGACTAGCTTTAACAGCGCGACTCGCTGCAAGTGATAAGTATCACTCACATATTTTTGGATGGGATACGCATGTTCAACAGAGAAAGCGAGCAATCACGTTGGAACGTAAAAAGATCCAGGAAGAAAAGGAACGCATGGAAGCTCTGGCAGCCAAGGTAATAAATTGATTTTTAAGGGGTGCATGGATGGATCATTGAGCGAATTTTATTAACGGACGCTATGATAGATGTCGGCAAAGCGCTTACAACGTCTTCGAAAGAGAGAGGCACGAAAGAAAGCACGAGTCTAAAGATTACTACTGTGTCGCCCTTATGCTCAATGTACTATTATTTTTCTCTCTACTATACTATCGCATCATCACTCTCTATTTTCTCTCGCCATTTGCATCTGTCGGTTTCATTCTATTTCTCTATCCCTACCTTGTCATGCATTTCCCAGCTATCCAACAACGATAATACATAACAACATACGCATATATACATGTTACACGGTAACTGCTACTGTTATTGACAGCAGGGCAAAGGACTGCAAGGACATCTGGACAACGAGAAGACCCAGTGGGGCATTATATATCATATCTTAATGCTGAGGGCTTTTTTATGAACAGAGGGTAATTCAGGAGAGCATCGTTTGATAAGTGCTTCTATTACAGTGAATAACTTCACTAACCAGGTAGAATTCTAATAACGGTGACTTGACACAGTCGGCGTTTGTGGATGGTGCCACATCTTCATCTGCATGCTGCGCTTCTTGCTTGTTACAGTCATGATGTTTGCACTCCCTTCCCCTCCCCCCAGTTAAGACTGCAAGTTCGTGCAGGATAAACACGCTTTTATCTAAAAGAGACGCTCTCATCGGTCCCCGTTGTCGATACAACGTTGCTTGTATCGATACTAGGAAGGGATGAAATTGTCAATGTATGTCAATAAAAAAAAGGTGCTTCTAATCAGTGCATGACCGTGTTCCCCGAGTTTTTATGCGGGTTGGCACTTGCGAGTTGCTATGATAGTCCGCTGAAAAGACAAAATTTGCTAGTCCGCTTCAAGTGGGGTGCGTGCCACGGACGTCTAGAGCACGTATGTGCCACTTTACTCAAATTGGAACCGTTCTGCACGAACAAGGGCACTTGTATTCTCAAAGACAGTTGGGCTGGATTGATACGGTGTGAAGTAGCCCACATTATAGCACAGCAGGCCCCGTCTGGATGGCTAACAGCAGATGTCAGGAATGGGGTTCTCCTACGGATAGAAAGTCAAAGATAGAAAGAGAACATAAGAGAACAGTTGAGAAGTGCCTGTGTGTGGTGTGCTATGCTTGCGGAGAAACACACGCGCAGCACACAGTCGAGTCAATAAAGTAATCCCACGCAGTAACAATAATAATAGCGCGTGCGTGATGCGGTGTGTGATGCGTGCCGCTTACTTGTATGATGATGCTGATGATGCATTACCACATTTGTAACAATCGGATCGCAACCCGTCGTCGTCGGCACAGCAGACAGGAGCACCACCAGCACCAGCACTAACATACTTAATAACAAATATATACAAGTCAATACCGTGGCGCGCCTCTCTTCTTCCTTTCTTTCTCATTAACTCACCCCTTCTTTTCTCCTCACCATTATTACTTTTTTTTCTCGCTTTTCCCTTTCCCTTTCTCTTTTCCACTTCTTCCTTCACTCTTCCTTGGAATCATACGCACATATCAAGGGAAACGACTTTTAATCTCTGCATTCCACACTCGACATTGCCCCCCCCCCTTATTTTTATACTCGTCATTCTTTCGACATCTGGTACCGAATCGGTTCTCCTTTGCCCCCTCCCCCAGACAATTAGCAAAGACAACGACCGGCTCACTCTCACCTGGCTTCTTTCTACTAGCTCTTTACAACCATGCTTGATGGCAAATCTAACAATGCATCTCTACTGCTGGGGAACAACCATACTGTCTACTTGTCCAATCTACGTGCTTACCAGCAACAATCGCTACGATCCACAAATAATAGTCCAGCAACCACTGCAACAGGAGCGACAGGAACGACAGGAGGAGGAGCCACCACCACCACTAATAAGCGGGCTTTACCAACTAATCATCCCCTGAACACCACCACTAATAACAACAACAACAACAACAACAATACGGCGCCTCCTCCACCTCCTTCGTCTGTTCCTGTGCAGCCCTCGTTGTATCAGCAGCAACAAGCCAAACGTCTGCAATACTATCACACACGCCCACCAGTCTATGTCGGTAACCCGTCCTTTGGATTGCAAGACTTTGAATTGCAGGATACGTTAGGTATATCACTTTTCTGCATGATATATCTCTGGCATTGCGGAGGAAGAAAACGAAAACGGGGCGGAGCTGCTTGCCTTGCGCTCTACTGCTGCCACTGGCATATACAATCAGAGAGGTGGCATGTAAGTGAATAGACAGCTGACAACCCACATTATTAATACAGGAACCGGCACCTTTGGACGAGTGTACCTGACAAGGTTCAGAACCACCAACAAATACTATGCAATGAAAGTTCTAAAGAAATCCGAAGTAGTACGGCTCAAACAGGTAAGACAGGAAGAAACGGGTTTCTTTCGTTGCTGCGGTTGTTGATGGAGCAGGTCTGGTTAAAGCCATCATCTACAAGGCGAGTTACTCATAAAAAATCCCATTTAGGTCGAGCATCTGTTGTGGGAAAAACAGATCTTGGCGTCGGTCCGATTCCCGTTCATTGTCGATCTGTGTGTATTAGCGTCTCTTGTTGATTTGTTTACGTGTTTACGTTATATTTATTCATGAGGCCTTTCTAAAATTAACCAAACAATTTCCCTCGTTCATCGGATCTATTCTATTGTGATCTGCCAACCATCAATCAACGATAACAAAATAATGACGATGTCGATACTAGGTTTTGCGCATTCCAAGACAACACCAATCTCTACATGCTGCTAGAGTATGTTGTGGGCGGCGAACTCTTTTCACACTTGCGACGAGCAGGTCGATTCACCAACGACATGACACGTTTCTACGCCTCTGAAATTGTACTCGCTATCGAGTACCTCCACTCTAAAAACATTGTCTACCGCGATCTGAAGCCAGAAAACCTGTTACTGGATCACAACGGGCATATCGTCTTGACAGATTTCGGATTCGCAAAGCAGATCGATGATCGGACATGGACGCTGTGTGGCACGCCAGAATATCTGGCCCCTGAAATCATTCAGAGCAAAGGACACGGAAAAGCTGTTGATTGGTGGGCGTTGGGCATCTTGATTTTCGAAATGTTGGCTGGGTAACTACTATCCGTACTGTTGCTACTTGTCCCCGTTTATCTGGAGCTCTCGCTAACTTGAAATTCTGATTTAGCTATCCTCCATTTTTTGATGATAACTCGTTTGGCATCTATGAAAAAATCTTGGCAGGACGTGTACAGTTTCCAAGTCATTTCGATGCACTTGCCAAAGATCTCTTGAAACGGCTGCTCGTCGGCGATCGGACAAAACGATTAGGCAATCTCAAGGTCAGTTTAGCAGTAAAATGTTGCCATTCTTGGTGACGAAACATATATATATATATATATTACTTATCCATCGATAAGCGAAAAATTTCTTCTACCACAACAACACAATCACATGCTAAAATGACCGTTACTATTCTTGATGATGATAACAACAGGGTGGTCCAGAGGATATCAAGCGACACAAATGGTTTAGAGGCGTGGATTGGATAGGCCTCTTGGACAAGACTGTTCGGGTAAGTTGTCATGTGAAGCAAAAAGTGCCACTGTGCGCTGCACAACACACGGATATCATCATATTGTGTGGAAACGTAAGCGCATGCCGGTAACAATGGACCTGACTAACAGGATGATATCGATAATAGGCACCGATTGTACCAAAATATCGTCACCCTGGTGACACTGGCAACTTTGAGAAATATCCTGACACTATTGCGACGGATCGAAACCCATCGGCTGACGGAGAAGACCCATACAAGAATCTGTTTGTCGACTTCTGCACATCCTCGTCTTCACCATCTTCACCATCCTCTTGAACAGACAAAGAAGAACACGCTCCACACATTCATCCATATCTCCCTTTCATGATATATCCTCAGCTACTTCGTTTAAATTAGTACGCAACAACAATAACCCTTTTATTTTTTTCGTTATCTCCTTCTTCTACTCCAATATCGCTGTTTATTTTCTCTTCTACGCATTATCTTTCCTTTTTTTTTCGTTTCTCTTACGTTTATCCCCAACCCCCACCCCACGCCATTTCTACTGAATCATGTATCTTCTACTATCCTTTCATCCATCCCCGTCATCTTTCTCTTTTCTTTTTTAATGAAATTTGCATCTGAAAATACCGCATACTCATAATTCCCTTTCTTCTACTTCTTCATTGTTCTTGCATAAAATCCATTTCGCTACTACGACTCGGTTCATATCAGTTTGCAGGGTGGCCCCGCTGTGCTACGCCCATTTTTACAGTTGTTTGCCTTCAGGGCGGTCGTCAAAAACTCACCTTTTGTTTTGAAGTCTTCAAATGCTGTGGGAAGTTTTTAAAAGCTTGTGGATAGCATCAATTTACTATTTTGGAATTTTTGACGGTGTTGGTAGAGCTGCTGTCGTTGATAGTCGACGACATAACGATCGTACGGAGCGAGCGGCTGTTGTGTTGGGTGAGCTCTTCTTCATTTCGGTTGAGCTATATTCCATTTGTTTTCTCATTTTCTTCTCGTGTATATGTGTAAGATATAGGTTAAGAATGAAGAAAGGGAAATTTAGCGTATGCCCATGTTTCAAGGAACTTAAAAATGCCCAAGCAGAAATAATTTTGCGTCATTGAGAATGAAGTTTCGCGTATAACTTAACCTTTTTACTCTGGGTTGTTAACCTTTGTTAACCTTTTCACTTTGGGTTGTTCAGCACAATGTCGGAAGGTAAAAGTAAGCTAACGCATCCAGTAGGAGGTTTCGACTCACAGTCTTTTTTATCCACAAATAACAATAGAGACACTCGTACAACACGGAGGAGCCATCCTCACAACCGATGAAAATGATCCTCATTCTTTACGCCGGCAGCAATCACTGACAGACCAGATACACCATCAAAAGATCAAATATTTCTCTTGAACACCATCTTCGCCCCTATCAAAGCCGAAGATCACCACTTAATCATTAAAACCGAGATAAACATCTATAACAGGCGAAATATCTATCTATATAATACCCTTGAAAAAAATAAAAAATAAAAGAAGGAACAACTTCAATTGGTTTATGCCCGTGCATGATGTGTCTGTTCCTTACAAGAAGAGCATCGTCTTATCATACCTGAGCACATATTGAAGACTCTTTAGGCCATCAGACAATACTCAAGCTTAATTATGTAAATGAATTAATATTCTGCTGTTTGGTGCTTTGAAAATATTTTCGTCGTTATAATAATACTTGAAGCATTGTTTGGCAATAACAAAGCGCGTTGATGTTGTTCAAAACAAGTCTATAACCGTCTTCATATATATATATATATGCTATCGTACAAGCCGACTCTATTCTAAAGAAACGATGAGCACACATAGAGATAGTACAGGGATCTGGCCATCCAAGCAGGTACGTGTATGATAAAGTAAACCCAGACAGTTATACAAAGGCGGTTTAGAGAAGCTTTCAATAGTCGTTCTTCTATCCATAAAGTAACCAGTTTTCTACCTGCGAAATTTCAGGTACTTTGAAGAAAACACGTTTGCGCTGTTTTATACTCAGGAAACAGTATCTGGAGTGACGTTCACAGTCAAGGATCCATGTTGGTGGCCATATACTACTGATAAATTACCCGTGATAATTTCACAAAAGCATGCATCACATCATACGTTACTTCTATTCTCGCACTGGAAAACACGACTTATTTACAGAAGATGACCTTTATATGATATCGTAGAGTAATGAACTTATATAGAGATTTGGCTAAAAAATTCTCACCAGTACTACTGACTGATCACAAGTTACAAATGTGTGTGTGAAGTTAAGAGTAAAGAAAAATTGGCTTCCGACCACGCGGTGGATCAGCGAACGGATTAATGTTCGATGTAAAAGCTGTCTAGGAATTAAGAATGTTGTAATCTTTAAAAGATCGACTGCGGTGTACTCATGGTGAAGAAGAACGTACGGAGAAGAAGGGGATTGTTGGATGGTGTATAGAGTTGAAATCATGCGCTGAGCATGTTCCAGTAAACGGCGGGCACGATGTTCTTGCGATTGTGTGATGGGATGCAAGTTTGCTTGGACGCAGGCACTGTGTGTGGGAGGAGGTGATGGGGAGGTTGTTTGGACAGCCTTGCTGATAGTCCGTGGTGATGGCTGTGGTGATGGTGGAGTAGATTGAGGTTGAGACGGAATGTTGTTGGCGGAAGCGGTGGCTCCCGCAGCGTGATAACAACTGGAGGTGTCCGTCTAATACGGATGAAAAAGTGTTTTACTCAGGTGTTATATTGGCGACGTCAGTTGTTGGACGTGTTAAACCTGCGAAAATAAGAGGTACAAAATCACTGTGTTCGTCTTGGTGGACCAACAATTGCAAGTCGCTCCAGAACAAAGTAGGTTGAGAGTGCTTTTTGATGTAGTAAGGGTCGTTGCGTAGGCGTAAGGTTTTGCAAAGGTGTTTTTTTGAGGAATTACTGGCACGCTAAGAAAACAATTAAACTATGAGAGTTATGCAAAGAAATAGCGATTTACAAGTGGGTTTTTGAAGTTAACACTTTTTTTAGAAGGTCGAATGTGGTCCTATGTAAAGAAAGTTAAAGATGGGTTTCTAACAAGTCGATAATGGCAATTAATCCTTTACCACTGGGTAATTAGTGTTCTTATGTCTGCTAAAGCGTTTTTTTCGGAAACATTGCAGAGTGAGAAAGAGGAAGAAAACAGATGGAAGATAAAACCAGTAGGAAGTCGATCTTAATAGATATTTTATTGAACGGTTTTGCATTATTTTTATGATGATTGGAGGATTGAGCGAAATAGATAGAAACGACAAGGGTCTTGAGTGAGAGAATAGTTACACGAACGGGGCACTATTAGAGCTGTAAATTGAATTGGTTGAAACAACGATAAGTACGCATAAAGTGAAAATATGTTGATGGGACTAGCTAGTGTAGATATGGTTACGTATCAGTTTACTGTAATTTTGATTGGAAGAAGTTCAGCGAGAAACGGAACCACAAGGGTAAATGATGAGTGAATAACGACATACATGTGCCAGCGTTTGATATTATGATAGAAAGGGAAACGAAAATTTGGTCTCGTTTGACAGTGAAACAGTGGCAAAGGAGAAAGTGAAGAATTGAAACCGGGTCAACGTTCCACCGGTTACCATGGCAACAAGCGTGACCAGAAACGGACAGCACGTATGCAATAGGGCGTTTCACGCTCCGACTGGCGTCGTCGCTAACTGCCTACAGAACGCCCTAAAACGGGACATGTTTTGTATATGTGTATCATTATAACAATGAAGGATATGTACATTTGTAATGTTACAGAGTTTGTCGAGGAAATAATATAACTAGAATGGTGATAAGTTGCAGATTGTAGCACTAGATAGATGAAAGAAAAGGGCGCTTTGCATATGTTACAGGTAGAGATGACAATAGAGAGGAGAAACGGATAAAACAAAACAAAGTCTAGAGAGATCGAGGAGGAAGGGAGGACATACTGTCCTGATATACGGTTAAATCTTCTTATAATACCACAGCCGATGTCTGTGCTTGTATAATAATAATGTTGTCCGCAAGATCAAGCCACAACACACAACAATGAACAAGAGTTCCCAAAAGAAATCGGCGAGAACGCGCGTCAGTCTTGTCGTTGCCAAAGGATCACCAGATTCCCAGAATGACAAGCCAAAGACATTGTCAGTTAGAGATTCTTGTTGCTGTTCTGTTGCTGCTGCTGCTGCTGCTGCTGTATTAAAATCATCACCCTTGTTGTTACCACTACGCGGCGTGAGCTCAATATAGTCAATACTGGGTCCATATCCATTCGGATCATCAAACACGATTTCGTTCACGTCGTGCAAAGTGACGCCAATCGAGTATTCGCCAGAAGCGGTTGGATTTCGTTTGGATTTGAGAGACATCCAAAACGGGTCACCGTTATTCACGCGTATCCGTAAGTTCCATCGTCGTGTGAAAAAGTCGCCGCATGTGCTCCAGCTGAAACAATCCAAGTATCGAATCCGCATCGTGTATGTTCCTGGCGTCGTAGTAATGTTGCGATATATAAGCGTGCCCGTCTGGGGTCGGTTCACATTGCCAATAGCCATCACGTACGCTCCTCCTGAGCATAAGGCACACCCTTTTCTCCGTGCTAATCCTTGTACAGCATTTTCTAGTCCTTCTGCCTCGTATCGCACAGTCGTCGATACTGATCGTGTTGTGGTGTTGGAAGAAGAAGAAGACGGATCATCTTGCTCTTTGGTTTCGGCAAGTGAAGTAGTAATGGCTGGTGTTGCTGGAGCTGTCAGGTTGTGCGACTGATGTCCGTGTGTAAGTTTATACATTGCACACGCATGTGGTCTGAGCGTTTGTGCAAGAGTACTCGATTTGTTTAAATTAATCTCTTCTTGTGTCCACAGTTCGCGTGCATATCCGCCACTGTATCCCAGCACCGAGGAAACGTCTACAGTCAAATTTTGGGCGTAAGGTTTGTAGTTGACAATGACTACGGCTAAGCTGTTGTTTATCAATGGGCCGGCCCAGACATCATAGTCATTTGCTACGTGAATAACTCGAACGGCTGGTTTTCCTAAAGGGTCTTGCTAGAAAAGAAAATACTCCATATTAGTCCTTTATCTCCATGACCAAAGAGTATATAGATAATAGAACTTACATTCACAGCAATGACTTGCTTGTTCGTCACTATATCAAAGAGCTCCTTGCGGACGTTCGTCAGGCTGTTTCCTAATATCAGTGGCGCCTTCATCGCCGCCCAAAGCGAAAAATGCGTTCTGGATTCGTCAACAGAGAGTATGCCATTCCCGATCTAAACAAATAACATTCCCGCACGTCCCTCATCGTATATTTAGCAGAATGCACTTCTTCTTCTGGTCTTACGAATTCCATTCCATCTTGTTCTTTAATCACAAGAGAAAGACGGGCCAGTATCTGTGCCATTCTAAGTCTGTGTATTACCTCCAGCATGTCTAGTAAAAATCGAACCAAATATTTAGTGATCTTGTGTAACAACAGAGCAGGAGAAAAGGGCCAAGAGTAAAGAAGAGTTTTACCTGGATCAGCCCAATGGCCGGGACCACCCAAGTGCACCACTTGCGAATGCACTTGAAGGATATCGACGATTGATTGCCATCCATTGTAGATATCGTCGTGGGTGCGGAAACTATGGCCAACATCAGGCGCCCATTCCCACGTATTTTCGACGCCCCATGTGCAGACCGAGAAGAAAATGTCGCGACCTGCTACTCCTGTCTGCACCAAGGCGTCGCGCATATGACGAAACCTCAATAGTGCAGGAACACCTTCGTCATAGTTGCAATTATCGTACTAAACAGACATTAAACAGCATTAGCTTTCTTGGCACTCTCAAACAAAAGTGACAACATACTTTGAGATAATCGACACCCCATTCCTTATAGCTGGCAGCATCGTTCTTTTCATAATCAAACGAAGCCATTCGTCCAGCACACGTTTTGCGGCCTGCACTGCTGTAGATACCAAACTTCAATCCTGGACCGGCGTCAGGCGTGTCAAAACCAAAATAAAAACAAAAACAAAAAATACTTCTTCCGTCTCTGATTGCTGTTTACCTTTGGCATGAATATAGTCCGCCACGGGTTTAAGTCCTTGAGGGAATGCCACAGGATCCACAATGATCGTGCCGTTGGCAGTTCTGTTGTTCGATTGCCAACAATCGTCGAGATTGAGGTACCTGTATCCTGCTGCCAAATAGCCTACAATACAAATACCCGTGAGGCCCCCGTTTGCCGGTAAGCATGTCTGGTTCTTGTGATTATTTCCTCCGTTCTGCATGAACCTTTGACAAGGAGAACAGGGTTATGACGCACCTTCGAAAACCATAGAGTCGGCTGTTTGTTTGATGAGTTTGTCGTCGATACCACATCCATACTTGTTCCATGTATTCCTGTTTTGCATATCGTGCAAACTGTTTCAGCCATGATTGCTACGAACGAAAGAGTGATTGCAAACATACCAGCCCATGGGGGGCGTAGCAGCAAACGACGGCACTTTTTTGCCTGCTACTGCAGCCGTAGTACTTGGGCAAACAAGGACGATAACATATATGAAAAATACCCAAACCAGCAGGCGTCGGGACAATAACATGGAAAGAATGGAAGAACAAGAAGAAGGAAAAAAAAATAATCAGATTTTGGTACGCATTATCCTAAAAAGAGCACTTTTTTAAGTTTTTTGTGTATCACCGTTGTCGGCTTTGCTTTATTTATACGAGCAACAATGTACAGTAGCACATATGCTCCTAAACACAGTCTTACCTCAATCCGAATGGCTTTGACATATAATACCTGCCGCGGTTCCTCCCAAGAACACACAAAACTCATAAAGCCTCCTTAATTTCTGTAGTGTATGCAAGAAAAAAACCCTTTTTCTTATACTTTTAGTAGGTTCCTCTCCGATCTCTTTTTCTTCTTCTTTTTCTCTTTCTTTCTTTTTATACTCCATTTCACCTCCTCTATCCACAAATCCATCCGGATAAATAATGTCCCTGTTCGGCTGGCTCTTTCGGAGTCGCCGCCGACGTCCCGTCTCATGGTGCCTGTGGTTGAACAAAACGCAACACCACCAATATCATACGACAAAGAGGCGTGCTAGAAAATCCGACGATACAATCACCGTAGCGAATGAAAACAATTGCACGAATCTCTATGACAACGACAAAGACGACGACGACAACAACAACTTTGATCAGGACCTTCTTTTTCAATGCATTCAGACGGCGTTGTTGACGACGAATACGCCAACTACTACGCCTCCTCAAAAACGCTGGTCGACCGGTATGTTATTAGTCAACTTTGAGGATATCGAGCAGTATTACTATTGTGAACAGTATCAGGAACAACAACAAGATCGAAGAAGGCAGCAACAGCAACAAGCATTGCTACAACTAGAGCGGGGAGCAAATGTTCATAATAGTACGACAAATCGAGCACTGGAACAACAACAACAACAGCAACGGACACGAACTAGGCGTAGATCATTTCGAGTGCAGAGCATCCCTCCCACTTGTGGCCACCATTTCTTGAATTCTATTCCAGAAGTTGTCGAGAATAACACCACCATCACCAACAGTTGCAACAGCATTAGCAGTATCTATCATCATCAACAGCTGCAGCAACAACAGCACCAGAAAACGGTGCCGGCACAACCACCACACCAGCTCCCCATCCCCTTAACTTGAGCAAAGAAAAGAAAACCCTTGAATGTATAGAAACGGATAATGGATTCACCCTTGTGTGTGTGTGTGTGTGTGTGTGTGTGTAAATTGTAGATAATAACCTGGTCAGGAAAAAAATAAGCCTTGTTTTTTAACACTTGTTAACGCAAGAAATTTATCTGTTGCCAAGCTTACCGCGTTATTATTGACAATTCATCGTCAAAGATCATTTTATACACCCGAACTAACACACCCCCTTGAACTTTAAACGTTTGATATTACTACTACTGCTATTCTTACAGCCCTTTTCACGTCCCATCTTTCTGTTGTCTAACTTTAAAGGAAGTGTGAATCATTACCATCGTTGGGCTATGGTGGGGGGGGGAGAGAGGGTCTCGTATTCAACGAGTACACTACGTATGTCCAGTTAATGGGGCTATTGCTACTACCGTCATATACAGTAATTACATATCTCTATCAGCTAGCATGTAGAAAGCTTACAAAGATGGAAATCCGGTTTATGTTAAAGTGGCAACAACATTTGCGATGATATTATTATTGCTAATAATGATGATAATAAATAGCCCAGCTAAATAATAATAATATTAATCATAAAAGTTGTGAGTATTAAATTAAACAAAATGTGTGAAATAAGAGTATGATGATATATCATGTGGTGCTAAAAATAACCAGCACGTTACTTGCTAGTACAGGTTTACAAAAGAAGGAGGGGGTGTGGAGTGGTGTTATTCGATCGAGTAACATCCATTGCACGGTGGTTGTAAATTTGGTGGTAGAGCTATGCTAATATAATGTGAATTGGTTTGTAACGATCACTTAACACAGCCAGCAATGAATTCTTGATGCGTACCTCATACATGCACAACCTAACGTTTTGTATCGAGATGCCCTGGATTTACCCTTGATTATAGTCGACGTTGCGCATGTGGTGCTTCTTGAGCTGCCAAGTGATATCTGAGCTATCATTATGTGGCCATTTTGTCAACGATCCTAATGCATTGTTCTACAAAGCATAGATACTCACTATTGCTCAGATGTAATTTTCCGATGATCATGCATCATGTACAACATGCCCAAGTGCTGTGCTTGAAACCATAATACGTCAATTCTGTTATTTGTAAATCATAATCATGTATCTCTACTACTAGAACAATTGCTGTCATATATGATACATAGCAACAAACCTGTTTCATTCAATGGGAGCTGCTTGATCTAGTGTAATCACGTCTGCCTGATGCTGTAACAACTCCCGGTGTGTATTTTACTCCCACCAACAAATAAAGAAGATTTTTGGGCTCGCTAATCAGTCATCATCAGGAGCCCTTTTTATTTACTTATATCGGTTGTTAGATAATGCATCGTGACGATCACCTCATAATCTTGACTTTACCTTCTTCTAGCCTAACATATAGTATATAGTAAGCCTTTCATTATGATTGAAAGTGCTTTAACACTATGCACGCATGTTCGTAGAGGAGTAGTGCCAGGTGCATAATGCACAGTGTTGGTCGCTTAAGAAGTCACATATGCTATCATCATATAAACCGTGACTCATAAGCTTTGAGGATGCTGTTGCTGCTATGAGCTAGGATTGCTAGGTGACGATGGTGTGTATGTGCACACCACTGATACTAAGCGAATAGTGCCTTGCATGATTATTTTCTTTTCTCTTCGCCCCTAAATAAGTCTTTAAATAAGGGGCACGTAGTTGAGATCATAAAGAGAGCCCATTTTACTGCTGCATGAAAGACTCATTTCATATATTAACCGTCCAAGATACGACGCGTTGTCCAGGAAACAAAAGACAAAGTAGCATAATACGCGAGCCCTACTCATTTACAGTAGTTCATGCCCTTATAGAAAGAAGAGAGTTACTGCAACCAAACGGTATGTGTCACCGACAACTAAAGTTCGGTCCGTGAAATCTCAATGTTTGTTCCGCGAAACCTTCTTTCTGCAGGCCCTCAACACCGACTGAGTGTGATAAGTAGACAAACTCCTTTTTTTTCTTTCCTCTTGTTTTTTGCCCGCCACCTTTTCTATTTTTGTATATTTAACTGTATAACCCTCTCTATTTCAAGATGGACCCTAGTGTACATCTTGACGGTGAACATGCCGTGTTCATCAATTCCACCGTGAATTCCGTCTACGAACTTATCAATGCCATTCCTGGCTCCCATCTCGTCCTATCCTACGTCAAAAATGCCTACCAAGACGACCCATTCCGCATCATTCTCGAACTATTTCTTGTTTTCTTTGCTTTAAAATACATGCTTTCCAAAAAGTACAAGCCTCAAGATAATGCCGTTAAACTTACTGAAAAGGTAAGAAGAAGATATCAGTGCAGCTCTTCCCGTTTCATTGACACTCTACTCACAACTAGTTGTGTGCTGTTATGTATATATTAGGAAATAGATGATCTCGTTGAAGAATGGAAACCAGAACCATTGGTTCCACAACTCTCGTCATTCGATAAAATGAATCTTGAAAAGGCTCCTTTAATCATTGGTGCACAGTCCGTCAAGCCCAAGGTAGCAGGCCACGCAAAGCCGCTTATGAACTTGGCATCGACCAATTATCTCGAATTACAGGCTTCCGAACGTATCCGACAAAAGGCGATTGACACGCTCAAGGTGTATGGTGTTGGCTCGTGCGGCCCACCTGGTTTCTATGGCACGATTGATGTTCACATGGATTTGGAGCGCGACATTGCTCAGTTTTTGGGCACCGAAGAGGCTATCATCTATGCTCAAGGCTTCTCGACGATCTCTTCGGTCATTCCTGCTTTCTCTAAGCGTGGTGATTTGCTCGTTGTCGATGATGGTGTTGGCTTTTCCGTTCAAAAGGGTGTCCAGATTTCTAGATCAAATGTTCGCTATTTCAAGCATAATGATATGCAGGATCTTGAACGAGTTTTGGATGACATTCGTGTTGATGATATGGTGGTAATGTATTCTCTCTCTCTCTCTCTTAACAATTTCATAAAGTAACTGCTTGTAATAAGTACAGACAACTGACAAGAAGCATTTTTTTGTAACTGTAGCACAAGCGAAAGCTCACTAGACGATTTATTGTAACTGAAGGCCTTTTTGCTAACCATGGTGATATTGCTCCTCTCGCTAAACTGGTAAGTGGATTGAGTAAATTAGTATCAAGATCTTATTTCTATTTGGTTTCTAAGCAACAACGTTTCTCATATTTTTACAGATTGAATTGAAACGCAAGTTCAAGTACCGTTTAATTCTCGATGAATCTCAATCTATTGGTGTTCTTGGCACCCGTGGTGCTGGTTTGACTGATTTATTTAATATCGATGTAAGCTTCCTTCTTTTAATTGGGCAGGAGACAGAAATATAGGCTATAGGCAGAGGTTTAGATGCAGGAGGAATCTCTGATTTATGGAAATCATTGTTGTAGGCCAAGGAAGTTGATATGATTGTTGGATCCATGTCCAATGCCTTGTGTGCATCTGGCGGTTTCTGTGCTGGCAATGTCCAAATTGTCGACCATCAACGACTTTCTGGTAGCGCTTACTGTTTCTCGGCCTCGATACCTGCTATGCTTGCCGTGTCGGCATCCGAAGCCCTCAAGTATATCCAAGAGAAGCCTCAAATCCTCCGCGAGTTGGCCGATCGTTCGCGTGCTTTCCGTCAAATCCTGTCACACAAGTCTTTGGAGAACCTGGTTGATTTATCCGGCAGTGATGTGTACTCTCCTGCACCCTTCTTCCACGTCCGTGTGAACCCTGCCTTTCTACGATCGCGCGGTCGTGATGACATTTCTCGTGAAGACGAGGAACGTCTGTTACAGGATGTGGTCGATGAGTGTGCTAGCCAGGGCGTTTTGATTACCCGTGCTAAATACGTTTATGACCAAGAACGTAGCTGTCCTCGTCCAAGCATCAAAATCTATGTCACGATCGGCTTGACCAAGAAGGAGAATGACAAGGCTGCTGGCGTTGTCAAGTCTGCCATCGTCAAGGTGTTTGGCAAATGGAAAAAGTAAATTTAATCCCTTTATTATCCTTCGCCTCTTTTGTTTTAAATATTTGTGTTTTTTGTGTTATTTTTCTTTTTCCTTTATTGTACACTCTACTGTTTTCTCCACTTATTTACTATACTAAACCACCAAAACAACTTTATGACATTGTATTTGTTTTTGGTTTTTGAATTCGCTGTAGGGTGGCTCGCGCAGTTACATATTCGGTAGTGTGTTAATAATGTTATAAGAAATTGTGAGCGGTGTATGTAGAAGCAGTACAGAGCAATAAGTAAGGTGGTCGGAGCTTAGATCCAGTAGATGGGACTTTCTTTTGCAAATACAAGACTATGTATTAGCGTCGTCATTTGTTGCAAACATAAGAACAGCACCTCATTGCTAATGGATGTGATAAATCTGGTGTATGTGTTAGTGACGACTACTATTTATTATGTACTTGGCTGTGACAGTGCAGGCTACTGACTATTTTCAAGTTCATGATTCTTCATATCTTTTTTCAACGTACTTTCCAAAAGAAAGGAAGGGACATTACTTGAAGGATCCGCCCAAACAGAGGGTACCCGATGAGTAGCTTAACTGCTACAAACTGTACGTATAAGATGTTCTTATATGCGCCATGATAAGAACATATCAAGCAGATCATAATAATACTGTGTGTGAAGTATTAAAATACAACAAGCTTCTTGGAGTTTCTCCATGCGTATGAGTGGCAACACAGCAAGACATCCACGGATATCCAGGTCATTAACAGCGGCCAAATGTTTTTCTGCATATCAACTTTGCAGGAAAATGACACATTTTTGTGTTCTGCATACACACATAAATTGCCTCATTAAAGCAGCGGGAAGGTGGATTGCTCTAAAATACGCCGGTTTCCGTGGTCTACGAGGCGCTAACAAACGTAGGCGACGGTATGTTTCTTCTGTTAAGCATGTTTGTAATACCATGAACCAGAATATTGTTGCTAAGGATTACACTCATTGCCATAGCAGCAGCAGGATTTTAACAGTTTATCGCTGGATGACTCATTTCTAACCAAAACATTACTGTATCAAATGCATTCATACTTTGACTCGCTCGTCTGTCATTGTATAATTTCCAAATTTTGTAGGTATTGCAACATCATATGTATAAGTAGTAGAAGGTAAATATGTAATATATTTGTAACTTACAATGTAATAAAACACTGCGCTAGCTATTGCAACTTATTATTGATATCATATTTACTCCTTGTTGTTCTTAAAAGAAAGATATACTTTTTAATCATGAGAGGTTTATCCATCTCTTTGAGAAGAAAAATAATGCGTTTATTGGTGTCAAAGTGGTTTCATGGCTACTGTACAAGAGTGGGTATAGATGGCAATAGATGATAGGGTAACGAGGAGATGACGAACATGGTTCTTGCATTTGCGAAACGACGGTTTACTTTCTGGATCTTTTATGCGATTATTGCTGGTATTGCTGTTGTCGAGCGTATCAATACCGACTGTCCCCAGAGTCCCTAATGAATGCTAATTGGTGTGGTGATCTTGATAATGCCGTATTTCGTTTACTAGTATTGACATGGATCGATTCACCTCATCCAAAGTTTGCTTTTTATATTGTTACTCAATACTGCGTTCTGTTGAGCTCAAATATTGTTGTCCGGTCTCGATAGATGCCGAATCAGTATGATGACCTTTTCATTATATTAAGTGTAGCTGTTATTTAGCATCTGGCACAGCTGTCGATACTAGTTGTGCCATCATTAATCTGATGGTTCGCTTTGTGAGAAAATGTAATAGTGACACACCGGAGCCATTTATGCAGGAACCAAATATGTATGTTGTAACTGGTGACGCCTGATGCGTCGAAGCCCTGATTACAGGACGGTCGAACTGACAATTGTTCAAAGTCGTAAAAGTAAGACGTAGTAAATTAGTGTCACTACGATCGTGTTGAATGATTTGAGTGCCATGTTCAGGTATGATACATCATAGTGAGACATAAAACTACACTTGTACAAAAGATGCTTAGATGTGAAGTACATAGTAGTCAGAGCAGCCTTCATAGGAGATGACATTAAGAATGGAGCTATCACTGCAAGAAGGCGATTTGTATGGTAGAGACTTTTCTCAAAGAATTCAGGGAAACGACATATCGCAAAACGATGATGATTAATATGTTTCTCAAGCAATTAATACTATAATGCTTTCTATGTAACAAAGCAAAAGAATGATCCCTATGATGTTGGTCTTTCCTTTATAAACTTAATAGTATTATATACCGGTGTGTTTTCTAAATACCTGTCATATCTGTCCTGATGATGGTTACTGTTGATGTGTCGATCTTATGTGAGTACCTATATATATATCTTTAGGTGGTAGTGATGATTATTTGATCAAGAAGCAAAACAACAAGAAAAATCCAGACAGCAATGATAATACCAATCCAGTAATGGAATCACACATTCATCAGGTGCAATTTCATTTGGAAAAAAGAAGAATAGGAGAAGACGAGCAAGATGGCTCCTTTTGTAGATAACTTGGTGAATTGAAGGCGTCGGGTTGCGCCCTTCACACAAGCTTCAACAGCAGGTATCTATCCATAAATCAAAGTATGCAAGCGAGATCTTTGAAGTGCTTCTCATTATTAGTAACCTTGTTAGCACTACCGTTTCATTGTTTCCCGCAAATATTGCGTGCCACATTGACGTAAGAATTACTCACTAACATCAAATTACTTTTATAATACAGGCGTCATCATCGATTTACTCAAAAGACACGAAATTCGAGCAGACCAAACAGTTTACAACGCGGTTAACATTCGCAAGAACTATTTGCGCGGTTATTGCGCCAGCTTTATCGCCTTCCTGTCGCCTCTTGGAAGTGAAGTTGGTCCAAGAATCATGCTTTCAAAGCAGGCGCAATTTTCTGCATCTAAATCAGGTAAAACCCAAAATGACAAGAAAACCCTGTTGTGATAAGCTACGTGCAGGAAGAAAGAAAGGACGAGCAGCTGTAAACAGACTTTCCAACTTGAAGATCTGGCAGTTATACATGTCTGTTGGCGTACGCTCTGGTGTTGCCTCTTAGAATATAACCCCTTATCACAAGGAGGATCGCACCATATCCGCGGTAACAAGCAATTTAGGCGATCACAGAAGGTGAAAAGGCGTGTCAAAGTGTGATAAAGCGCGTTGTGATCATGTTACTGTCGTCTGTCATTGTTCCCCGCTTTGTTTAGCACGGAGCTGTGTATGGATGGAGGGGGGAGTAATTAGCTTTTTGTTCGCGAAAAAAGAAAAAGGAACTTGTCGTGCACATAAAAAAAAGGCGAAGCAAAAGCGGTAAAACGTTTATAAGAAGAGTGCGAAAAAGAAAAATATTTTTTTATTTTGTTTATCATTTTCTTATTTGTGTGTAATAAATAATAAAAAAAAAGTTCGTTTCAATTATCCCAACATATACCGTTGGCATCACATGCACCCGAAGGTTCACGATCGGCTGCCGGAGTATATGACCACATTCCCACTGGTATATATTGCAAATTTTCTTTCAGGGCGGACCACTGAATCTGCCGATCATCAAAAGAATTATGACAATAGCCCAGCACAAGCAATGACCTGGTCATGGCACCAAACAGTGCCTTGTACTACAGACCAAAGCTGTACCAAAACGAACTGAAGAGAAGAGAAAAAAGAAAGGCGAAATTGCTCGCTTTATATAGACATTTTTTCTCGTTCGGGACTTCAAATCCCCGTGAATTCTCATTGGCCCAGATAACGGGTTGCGTATCAACTTGTGGGTTGCCCACTATGACATAACAAAACATACAGCACCAAAGGAAATGAAAGGAGTGGTACTTGATGGTCAAGTAGACAAGCGTGCTTCGGCGGTAGTGGTACGTGTCTCTCACCATGCGGAGCTGCACCCTCCGATGGTATCGGCGCTTGTTTGTGAGTGGGGCCGTGCACGGCACCGTGTCAAGCGAAAGACAAAGACACGAATGCAAATGAGCAAGTAGATTCACGGAAGAAATGCTTTTCTGCGAGCAACAAAGTGGCAATATAAGAATGACTGACAAAGTAAACAGCTTAACAGATTCCCCGGCATCAGTTGTTCCTGATGCAGCATTAGTAAACATCAAGAACACGATCCTCCCAGCAGCCAGTTTCCATTCCTTCACCTATCAAGGCAACAACATGTGTATATAGCGTAGCCCACAGACTATTCCATTTTATTAGTATATTTTGATTGTATCTGTGGTGCATAATGTTGTGCGTGTGCGGGCATAGATACAATACACTGGATCCCATCGCTGCACTATATGAAAAAGACCCGTTGCCTTTTATCTTAAACTGTGCTCGTCAACCATTTTCGCCATCCGCCAACGGTTCCTTGAACTACGCTGTGTAACCTCTTCCCTCCATCTCGAATTAATACTGCTGCTGGTGAGGTGCCACCCTCCATCTCAGTTTTATGCTGCTGCAAAAGTTCCATCTCCATCCCAAGTATGTGCTGCCGCAGATAAGTTGGCCCGCTCATAATAAGTATCCGCTGCCGCTAGCGAAACCGACTCATCCTTCATTGTTCTTTATAGCTACTGACAAAGTTAATAGGTTCGTTTGTTTTTGTGCGATTCTACCTTCCTTTTAAGCAGCGTTCAAGATCCATTGGGACGATCAGAAGAATAACACTATACACGATGACTTCCTACAACTTTTGACACTTTTGCACGTAATTCGTTGCTCCAATTATTACCTTGCTCACTCACCATCCCTTTGTGCATTTTGAGTGCGAAGTCAATTGGCCAAATCGCTGTGTCATAATGCGCATAGTTTTCGTTTCAGGGAAAAGCTGTTGGAACGTTCAAGGTTTGACACACGCGTAACTTTGTCACTATCCAAAAAAGAAAGATCTGTGTTGCGCTCTTCCTGATTTCCTCATTCCTAGAATACCTTTGCTTCCTGCTGATTTACGTTCGTTATGCTTGTCGTTAGTATGGGTCTGTGCGTGCGCGTTCATAGCCTTCGTTATGTAATTAAAAAGAGAGACGCAGCGAATTTACCCCTACTGTTGCCTGTTTTCACAGCACAATTCACGCTGTGTCTCTGATTGTCTCTTTGCACACTTCTTGCCGTTGCCGAATTAATGATGTTATGATAAAGCCCGTGAGAAAACCCCTGCTCTTTTGCAGTTGCTTTTTATATACGTTAAGAGCACCGTTTACTGTGCATTACGTCCCACTTAGCTTAACATATAGTCCTTTTTGGTATAAATTACGATCCGCTCAGTTTTACTATGTCTTGTCTATACTGTAGGTGCCACAGCAAAGTGTGGTGGGGAGGAGCAGCTTCTTCAGTACAAGACTTCTTCCAGCAGTAATTCCTACCACGACTGGTGCATTGATTGGTGGCAAGGTGGCATATCACTTAAAGTTGGTAGGGATAGTAATATGTGTTTGCTCTTGGACTACATGCGTCTGTATGTAGGGCTTGCCATAAATTGGACGCTCCATGGCTACGTTTTACGTAATTCTCTTTCACCATATTTTGAGCCACTGATTCGGTCAGTATACGGAAATGTTTACCAAGCTCATGTCAGCTTTACCGATATGTCGAGAGAATTACTTGGTTTCTGGTCACGCATCCAAGGGCACTGTGTATACAACCGTGGACGACGACTGATAATGAGCGCCGAAATGACTATCCGTCCCTCCGATTGTGTTCGTCGTCCAGCCTTGTGCCTAAGCGAAAAGGAACCGGAACCGGAACACTTACAAATATGAACAAAGAGAAAGCAAGAGTGGGTGTTTTTCAGCATTGCTTTTGGAAAAAAAATAGCTGTAAAAGATAACGAACAACAACAGCTCTAAACATATGTTATTTCCATTGCTTAACACATAAAGGACGTAAAATTTATGCATTGATTTGGGCTACAAGAGTCTTTCTATCAAGTGATATGATACCATGTCTACCACTTGCTCAGAAAGTGGATAGGAGTATATAATTACAGCGCAAGAGTACCGTATAATAGAATACAGACTTATGCAATGGCTACTGTAGCAGCATGATGGACTTGCTGCTGTACATAGTTACGTGGTCTCTCAATCTGCTGTGTGTATTCATTTATGCAACCACAAGAGCCTTGTGTTTCACAGTAGCGAAATAGACCAAGCTTTTTTCTTATTATGCAAAAGTATCGAGAAGTACTTGGAGTTTTTTAGCTCTCTTTCTTTCTTCTTTTTCTACCAGAGTCGCTTGTTTAGCACTAATAACAGTTTAAATCGAATTCCATCAATATCTCAATACTACAAAGGCCAAAATGACAGCTGGTGAAAAGCCTTTTGCAGGTAAAGTAGCAGTAATAAGTTGAAATATAGGTAAAGCGGTAGCTACTGAGCTGGTTAACAAGGGAGCCAAAGTTGTCATTGAAAATATCCTTGATTTCGAAGGAGACGTGACCGTGCGTGAGCTTAATGATCTTGCTGAGTTGGCATAAAAGTAAAAACATCAATATGTTTGTTAATGACCTGATGGAATTATTATTAAAGTGATCAGGTTGCCGCATACATTCATAGCGATATTACAAAGTATAGCAACAATGCCGCCCTTTTTCAGTTGGCCGAAAAACGGTTTGGTAGCGTTGATGTATGTATATGTGCTTCTTAAATCACTGCAAACATTCTACGGAGACCCTTGTTATAACAACTACGCATCTTTGTATTTCACGATTTATAATTGCTATCTTTAACGCTGGAATTGGATGCAATGCAAACACAATGTTCATGCTTCTTGATGATACAGTACGTGTCGTCGATGAAGGATACATAAATTACCCAAATTTGAATTACTTAAGGGAGAAAATGCGACTTACTAACGGATGCTTGGTAAATATAGATGAAATGGATGAGCGGATGATAGCAATAAATACAACAGCAGTAACCAAGGGAGACAAAGTCGCTATGCTTCAACAAACGAATGGAGGCGTTATCATCAACATGGCATCAGCCGCTGATCTTCCAGGAACACCGTAAGGATTTTTTTTGTTGTTACTATTTTCCATATCTGGTATTTTAAGACAACGGCGATGATAATTTCTTGTTAGCTGTGAGAACATTAGAGCTGTAGGCATCTACTGTGCGTCTTAATTCGGTGTTGTCGGATGGGTACGCTCATGCGGGATTTTACAATGCTGTTTTAGTAATGTTGGGTGAATGCTGGTAAAGAATTTACATGACCTTTTATTCATCAACAATATCAACAAATATGACCAAGCAATTTCGTGTTTCTCATACTCTTTTCTTCAAAACATGAGTATGCCCCACTTTTGTTGGTAAGTAGCGAGCTGTTTTATTTGACTATTTACGTTATGCATTTAGTAACCTTTCTCCCTCTAACCCTGCCGGATCTTCAAAGAAACCGAGCTTGCAGATGCTTTATTAACGCAAGCGATCAAGACCCGTTCACCACGTTGGTTGAAAAAATTACCAAAAGCTAAGGTGGAGACGGTTATCGAAACTATATTAAAGTTTATTCAAGAGGAGGAACGAAACGGTAAGCATTCAAGTAACAAAGGACACGACTTTTTTCTGAGCGAGCAAGCGGTATGCTTGCTGTTGAAGGTACCCAACCATTACCATTTGTGTATTCACAACGTTTCGATAGTGGAAGGGGTATACTTCAAAATATAAAGTATGATATATTAATAGTCTTGACATTAAATTTAATAGTGTCATAGTTATGGGTGTTGTTGCCAGCACAGAATACGAGAATACGCGTGCTGCGTCTGGATCTCAAATTTGTCGCGTATAGAAATCAAGCGCGTTTCACCAGAACTTGCCCTTTCTTTTGCAAATACTCGGCACAAAGGCCTCTGGGTAAGTCAATTATGCAAAACGAGTTTGTGTACCTGGCAAAAGAATTGTTTGAATTGATTGCTATTTCCACTTACAGACTTTAGAAAAAACAAACACTTTTTCTGTGATAATTGAACAGCATGGATCTTGACGACGACGATTTGTACGTTTTTTTTTAATTTTATTAAAATGAAAACATCAACGCATATGGACGTTCAAATTACCATACTATCACTTAACACTAGTACTCAATAAAATTAGTCAACAACCTTTGGGAGCTGGTAAGAGCTTGAAACGCAAGGCAGAGGATGCAGGCAGGTAATGTCAACCCGCATAGTGACACCTTGTATTTGTATACATGACCGATAAAATAGCAGAAAAGTGCTGAACCGAAGAAATATGTGGTATATACACGTATCATAGCAACAAGAACAAGAAAATTAGAGCGATCGATCCTAAGGATTATTTTGCTACGGTAAAGATATCCAGGGGCAACAATAGCAGCAAGAAAAAACCGCAATCGATCTTGCAGGATACCGACGATATGGAAATTATCAAGGGCAAAAAGAGCACCGCTGCTCCAGCAGTGTCACCGATTCCTCAAGAGCAAAAGCCGCCTAAACCTGTAGAGAAAGAACGAAAGCAACAGCAGCAAACGAAACCATCAACAACAACACTTAATCTTTCTGCAGCTTCGCTATCTGGCTCAAAGATCGCGGCTGATGCATCATCATCCACAGCAACAAAGGATAGCAGCAATGATACGACATCTAAGAGTAAGCAGACAGCAGCTCCAGCACGCACTTTATCGTCTATAACTGTTACTGAAAGCAAGACTCCGAACGAAAAGTCTACAAAGCAAGCTGATCAGGATATCATGTCTGCTTTCAAAATGGGGCAACGCAGCAGTGGTTCAGCCGGAGCAGCAGCATCTTCGTCGTCATCGAAAGCTACCAGCAGCGGTGCTTTACGACAAATCAATACCACCCCAGTAAAGGCAGAAGGGTAAGCATTGAAAAAGAGTAATATCTTGATATATTGATAGAGAGGAAGACCAATCTTGTGCATTCAAAGCATAATGTTAATATGTTTACTCCATAGATCGAAGCAGGGTCCTGGTACAGGTACCCCACAGGCTTTGGGTAGTCGGCCGTTACCTATCGGTAAAGATGGTTGTTTCACAGGCTCAGTATTCGTCTTCTCCGGGACTCTCGATTCAATGACTAGCGACACTGCCCACGAGATCGTCGAGCGTTATGGCGGGTATGTTACATCTTTAGCAGATAACACAACATTCAGAAAAACAACCTTCAAATTAATATAATTCTTGTTATCCAGCAACGTTACCACTGAAATGAACTTTAGCACGACCTATTTGGTACAGGGACGTGGATCTGATCCTGCTGCTGTTAAGAAAGCAGACAAGTACGGAACGATTGTAGTTGATGAAGATGGATTTTATAAACTGGTGACAAGGTCTTTGCCGTCCAAGTCTCAAAAATTAACTTCTGCCTCGACTTCTACCGTGTCTTCATCTGCGTCATTAAAAGGAAAAGGAAAGGCGATAGCTGCTTTGGTGGATAAACGAGAACCGTAAGTGGAGTTTTATAGCAAACTTTGCAGAGGAAGGAAAAAGTTATAATAACGTTTGTGCCCATGCCGATAGAATCCCGGTTGAGCAGCTGTGGACTGAAAAGTATAGACCAAAAAAGATTAGCGAGATCGTGGGCAATAAGGAAGTGGTCAAACAGATCGACCAATGGCTTAAAGACTGGTAATACTGGGATGGAAGGTGATTTTTTAAACGTACGTATTGCTTTCGCTGACTTTAACTGACTCCTCTTCCGTTTTTAGGCACAGGAATCTCAACGCCAATAATAACAGCAATATTAAGAGTGGTGGTAGTAGCGGAAAGAAATCCAATGGCTCACCGTCCAACTTTAGATCGGTCTTAATCTCAGGTCCACCAGGAGTAGGAAAATGTAAGAAGCGATACAGGCAATGTTTGTGCGGTTAAATATACTCTTAACCGAAAAGGAAAACTAATGTAACCTCATGCTACACTAGCTACTACTGCACATGTTGTTGCCATCGAAAATGGATATGAGGTGCTCGAGTTTAATGCAAGTGATGTTCGTAGCAAAAAGGCGCTTGAGGTACTTATTATGATGATTTTTAAAAGCTTCTGTTTTCTTTTTACATCGATGATTTGTACTAATATTCCACATTTTTTGTGTCTACCTCAAAAGGACATCCTCGGTGAAATGGTTGACAATCGAACAATGACAGAATTTTACAAGCGAGGTGCTCCAAGTCCAGTATGTGTGATTTTCATTTTATTTCGCTTTTATCGTTTTAAAGAAAATTACAATGTGTTAAAAATACTTCTTTTCGCGTCATAGGTTTCTGTTAAAGGGAAGAAGGTTGTATTGGTGATGGATGAAGTGGATGGCATGACAAGCGGTGACCGTGGTGGAGCTGTTGAACTCGCTGGGATGATCAAAAACACCAAGATACCCATCATTTGCATCTGTAACGATATCCGGTCTCCCAAAGTGGCACCATTGAAGAATGTTTGTTTTGATGCACGATTTAAGAGGTATTTATGAGCCCCTGGTTTTATCTATAAAAGTCGTTGTCGGTCGAAAATATGTATGCGTGATAGCTAACGAAAATGTTCGATAATGAATAGAACACCTGTCAACCAAATTCGATCCAAAATCATGTCCATTGCCTATAAGTACGTCTATATTTATGATTTATTCCGGGATACATATCAGTGGAATAACAAACTAACAAGAAATTTCTTATACAGGGAAAATCTATTCATCAAGCCTGCAGCTGTCGATGAACTTGTACAAGCTACACACAATGATATCCGCCAAGTTATCAATATTCTTTCAACATATCGATTGGCAAGTAAAAAGATGAGTGATGAAGATGCAAAGGCTGTGTAAGTAATCCAACAAAACTTTTTTTAATTTTATTCCTGCATCGTTAATAACCAAGATGGCACCTGGGACTAAATACTATCATAGTGCCAAGGCAAACGAAAAAGATTCTACTATGAACCTGTTTGATATTCCAGATGCACTCTTCAGTACCCCCTCATGGTACAACCACACGCTCGCACAAAAATTGGATATCTATTTCTATGACTATGGATTGACGCCTCTCATGGTTTTTGTACGTTTGTTTCTCCTGGCTTCCGCCCGCCACTGTATAAGCTAGGAAATCGCATACTAAAATTGAGTAATACTTTAGGAGAACTATCTAAAGTTCCGTCCTGACAAGCCAAACAAACTATGCAAAACCGGTCGGCCTGCTGAACTGGCAGCATTGGAGATGAAAATGGCAGCACAAGCAGCAGAGGCTATGGCGGATGGTGATCTTGTAAACTCAATGATTCACGGGTACGCTGATAGAAGAAGCTTTAGTTACATTTTGATTTCTATATGCCATCTATTAGCACTTGCTAATTTAGTGGAGCTGTCATTCTTGCTTTTGTAGGAGTGTCCAACAATTCTCGCTTATGCCTGTTGAATCGGCTTTGGGCTGTGTGCGTCCAGCAGGATTCATGCACGGAACTTCCAGCGGGTTCAATTTCAATTTCCCAGGGTAAGCTTACGCTTTTTAATCCTAGAGCTAGGAAACACAAGGCTTATATCTAACAATGATGGCTTCTTCTTTACGATAGATGGCTCGGTCAAAATTCGAAAGCAGGAAAGTTTGATCGTATGGTGAATGAAATGAGAAGCAACATGCGATTCAATGCGACTGCGGACCGTAATCAAATTCGACAACATTACGTTCCTACACTCAACGATCGGATATTCAAGAGCTTGGCTGAAGTATGTATATCTATGATTACAGTGCTCAACCCGCGACTTATAATTTATAATGGTTTCCTTTCTCGTGAACGTGTAGGAACGCTACGATGATGCCATGGCAATTCTGGACACTTACTACCTCAACCGCAATAGTTTGGAGTCATTAAATGAGTTAGATCTGAGCCCCCAGAAACCAATGTCCAAGCTTCCAACTAAAGCAAAGTCTGCATTTACACGCAAGTATGTATCTTAGTCGCTCGTACTGGTTACAACAATCGCGCGTTGTATCATTGTTTTTGGATGGTAGCTAACAAATTGGGGAAAAATCAACCTTGTCACCATTGCTGTAGGTATAACAAGGCTTCACATCCTATGCTGCGTAGGCCCAAAGAAAACAATGATATTGTCAGACGCAAGGGTACATCAGCAAGTAATATGCCCACGGAAGATTCTGAAGGCGAGGATGAGCGTGATTATGGCGCAGACGTGTCTGAGGAAGAGGATGTTGACTTTTAGGTCATGATATCAGCTGATATTGCCGATTGCTTGTATTGCGAATGTTGTCAGCATGGTTCTTCAAACCATACATAGTATCTCATTTAAACCCATTCATAACTTAAATGGAAACTCAAATTTAGTAAAAAAGATGATCGTAATAATAATGTAAAATGTTTATGAGGATGGCTCAAAATATTCTATGCGTACAAAACCACGAAATTTTATGCAAGCGCAGCGTCGCGAATTCAAGATTCGTCTTTCGCGACTCAACCGCATACAAATCATGTCAAGCAATTTCCATTTTGAAGACGACGATCCAACTATTACCGATGAAGCTCAAGTAAATTACCCACCCTACTATGTCGACAGCGATCTCTAATTACTCAACTTTGAATTGATCAAAAAACTGCAAACCATTTAGACACAATGGGGGGGACAGGACCGAATCTTGTTCCTCATTGACTGCGCACAAGACATGCAGACACCCCAAGAGAACGGCAAGGTCCCGGTCAAGGTCGCATTTGACTGTGTCGCGTCTGTCATGCTGAACAAGGTGTTCAGCAGTGACAAGGACGAAGTTGGTGTTATCTTGTATGGCACGGTCAGTAAAAGCAGTAACAACTACAACTATTATTGATACACTTTCCCTCTCCCTTCTCTCACCTTCGTTTACGTTTTGATGGGTAAACTCATATCGTCTTGGCTTTTTGTATTGATAATAGGCAAGTCAAAATAGCCCTGCTAATCATGAACATGTATATATCCTAAACGACATGGACGCGCCTTCCCCTTCAAGAATCAGAAATGCTGAAGACCTCGGTTCAGGTAAGCTATATATTATAGGGTATGCATACACCTATGGGACAGGATCAGCTAAGATCATATTACATACACTGTTACAGATGGCCAAAAAGATCTATCGGAATACGGCATTACCACAGAAGAATATCCTCTAGGAAATGTCTTCTGGACCTGCATGGACCTTCTGTCTGAAAACGCCAAAAAGCAAACACATGGTACACGACGCATCTTTTTAATCACGGATCAAGATAACCCTCATGCTGATAATCCCAGCTTGAGAAATGCGGCACTTCAACGAGCAAAGGTAACTGATCTTCCTGACTTATTTTTTCTTATTGGATGATGAAGAAAAAAATCAAAGTCTGGGATATAGGATATTCATAACAGCTAAACGATTCTTTTTGTATTGAATTCTTGCTAAAAACAGGATCTTAGCGAAGTCGGTATCACAATTGAACTCTTTGGATTAAACAGAAAGGGTCATCTTTTCGACGAAAGCCTCTTCTATAATGTAAGTAAAAGAACATATCCATACTTCTCTCTTTCTCTGTGTGTGTTCTTATGTATACACATTTGACTGTTGACTGTTTGCATATACACATCCAGGAAATACTTGCTGCACCACATCGACAAACTGACGATGATGACAATGATCCAGCGGGAAGAGAAGCAAGAGCATCAAAGGGTGCGTCCAATAATCTAGATGAGCTTCTTGAACGAGTGCGCCGTAAGCGACCCAAAAAGCGAACAGTTTTCAAGATTCCGTTGCGTTTATCGGATGGACTCGAGATTGGCGTGAAAGGGTGAGGACAAGCAAAGAATTGAAGCTTGACTACAAGGAGTGAGTGCCAGTTTCTAATCCATGCAACATTCTACTTGAAATGTACAGCTACAACACCATCATTGAACAAAAGCGCGGTGCACACAGAAATGTTTTCCCCGGTGGTGAACAGATCAAAGAAGTCGAGTCCATAACAACCTACAAATGCGCTGTAAGGAGTTTTTAAACTTTTCTTCTCTCTGTGAGACCACTATGGCTACTGATAAGGTTTACATTTCATATAGGATACTGATCAAACACTTTTGCCTGCGGAAATCAAATCATACTGGTCAGTCGCTGGAGGTCAATCGGTATTCGACCAAGATGAACGCCAAAAGCTACGCTCGATTAGTGATCCAAGTAAGGAAGACCGCTTGATAGATTTTGCAAGAGATGCATGCACATATTGCTGTATGTAGCTCCTATATAAACCAAGATGATCATTTATCCAGGTATCAAACTCCTCGGATTTACAAGCCGAAAGGTCCTAAGACCGTATCGTTCGATGGCCCATCCTTGGTTTATCTATCCGGATGAATCCGTGAGTGTTATCCTTGATGTTTTTATGTCCTCGGGGTGGGGGTGGGGGTTTGAGGCGAAGAGAGAATAGAAATTTACCGGTGATCATTATGACTATTTTTATCATATATGTTAGTCATATGAAGGCTCGACTCGTGCATTTTCTGCGTTGTTGGATGCCATGCTAGAGCAAAAACGAGTTGGGCTATGTGTCTTGACGCCCAGATCCAATTCATCCACTTTTGTCGTGGCAATGGTACCTCAAGTAAGTGGGTGTGCACAAAAATCATGCAACATGAGGAATGATAAAGGAAGGGCTACACAAGAAAATGGGAATAGCACGTACTAAACCGTGTATAGCGAGAAACCAAGAGTGAAGACGGGATGCAAAAGCGACCACCGGGCTTTTTCCTTATCCGAATGCCTTACGCCGATGATATTCGTGATATGCCGCCGGTAGCTACAGAACGAGGTAATTATAAACTTCAGACGCGAGCACGATAGTATCAAGCGTGAATCTATTGGAGAAAGCTGACTTGGAAACTTGGATGATGATTGATGATACATAGCCAACAACGAAGAAGTGGAAGCTGCTGAACAAGTGCTGCACAGCTTATTATTAGATAAACCGTATGACCCGGCAGATTACGAGAATCCAGGTATTTGACACGTCCTTGTTTATAATATAGACTTTCTTGCGGGAGGAGCTAGAACAAAGCGGCCGTATCGTGCATAGTCGCTGATCATTTACTGATAATAACAATAGCCTTGCAGCTGCACTATGCGGTTCTCCAATCATTGGCGCTGGAACAGCCTGTTGTTGAGAAGATTAACGATGCAACCTTACCCAGGGGAGAAGCGATGGATAAGGTAAGCGTATATGCAGGCAATATTATAACGTGATCGACTGATATACGCAATAAAAACAAATGTTTTGCCGTTTCAATTAACAATAGCAACTCAAAAACTGCGTGCCTCATTTGAAATCGCTTTTAAACGCCGATGAGCCAGAGCCCAGCATTTCCCGAAAACGGAAGGTAAGGAGGACCCTAATTTGTCGCACAAGATAAGGTGGCGATAAAAACATTCTGTTCATTCAACGTCAATATAGGAGTCTGGTGATGGTGAAGGATCTGGTCAGAAGCGCGTTCGACGATCTGGCACCAAGTCGATTGAAGAAAACTACAAGGACGAAACACTGGACCATGTAAGCCTCTATGACAAGAACGCTATTCATGGTGCTAATGTATGTGTGATATACTAGTGCACTGTGCCAATGCTGAAGGAGTGGCTGAAGGAACAAGGAACCTATCCGAAGCAACGCAAAGCGGATCTGATCGCTCAGATCTGCGACATTCTCGATAAGCGACGGCCCTAGCGGCAGACGGAGCTTGGGTCACATAAGCTTCCAGCGATTAGTCAATTCGTTCTTGTATGAAACAAATTTTTTCTTTAGTGCCGGTTGGTCCGAGACATTTGCTCGCTTTGCTATAAAAAGAAAGTCATTTCCCGCACTCAAATCTAGTCTTTTCTTTCTTGCTTGCTTTTTTGTTTATCAACTTACTTTCTTGAACCCACATATTCCCTCCCCAAATGACCAAAGTCGACGCCACCGTCGAATTTAACATCGACCCATCTTTCACGGGCATCATGCGTGGCTTCGCCAACGATGAGTCAGAAGGATGCGTTTTGACTGGCACCTGCGCCGTTCGCATCCATCGACCTCTGAAAGTGCGACGTCTCATTGTATGGTTTGAAGGTCGAATCAAAGTCAACCTTCGCGGCCATAGCTCAATAGCTCTGTCTTCCACCGAAATGATCGAAGGTCGCTCGCTTTACTACAAGAGCCAGCAATTCATCAGCGACGATGGCCAGCTGCAACAGTTGGAACCTGGCACCTACGAATACCCGTTTTCCTTTGAACTTCCTGCCACTTTACCTGCCAGCTTCCGTGGCAAGTATGGTGCGGTCCGCTATCGACTCCAATGCACACTCTTCCGCCCTACCTTCTCGTCCGATATCCACGCTTCTCGCGAGGTCACTCTGCGTCGTTCGCTCATGGGCGATCACTTGACATCAGCCACAGCCGCTGATATGACCGAAACGGTTTCCGGTGTCAATCACTCGGAACAGCTTCATTACTCTGCCACGGCCACCAGCATGACTTATCGCGAGGGCGGTCTGGTTCGTTTGAACTTGAACATGGATCTTGGTCGTCCAGAAACACAATCAGTCAAATCGGTGACCTGCGCCTTGCGTGAGACTGTTCGATACCGTACCACCGGCGAACGGTCGCTGACGTACCAGGCCTGCTCCAAGACGGACGAGGTGTATCCATTGGGATGGAGTACATTTTACCCATCACAGGCGCCTGACTACAGCGCTGCTGCTCCACATAGTTACAATGCCATGTTTCGCTTGTGTCCGCGAGTTAACGCTGATAACGAAACACGTCTTCTCGATGTCAAGCATTCTGTTGTTGTCAACATTATGGTCGAAGAGCGTCGTGCTGTCGCTACTGCTCCACAAACACCACACGAGCATCATAACGACGAGGATGATGACCGCAAGTTGAGCGTTCAACAAATCGAGCACGCATTTACCACTGCTGCTGCTGCAACTGCAGCCGCGTCCCCGCCATCCTCTAGTTCATCGTCCCGTTTGACTGCACTATCAGCTTCACAACCAACTACGCCACCCGTTCTCAGCCGCTCATCATCGTCATCGTCTATCACATCCATCTTTTCGCTGCGTCGAGAGCACCACGGAGGAGGCGGTGGCAGCAAGAGCAACGCATCCTCACGGCGATCATCGATCAGTGGTATTACGCCCTCTTCACTCCATCATCGTGAAGCCAAAACACATCTCACGCTATGCACGTTGGAGATCCCCGTGTTAGTCACATCACGCGAGCATGTTTGGGATGGTGCCATGCCGAGTCCACCGGCATACAACACCGCCGAAGCGCCACCCAGCTATTTCCAAACACTGGAACAACTTCCGGCCGTTCCGATGTACCCAGCAGAATCTTCTACTTCTACTGCCGTTCAAGCCGCATCATAAGATATATATCTAGTACATAACACACACATTTTCTTACTATAAGCCATGTCATACCATTTCATCACTCATCATTCTGTCCATTCATCCATTCATTCATTCATCCATGCAACAATCATTCTTGTCATATTCATCGTATCCTTACTCTTATTAGTACATTTATTCTCTTATCAAATAAAGATCATTCGCCAATCGCTTAATCTCTATTATAGTTTTGCCGCTGTTGTTTGAGATTCTGTCACCGCCGGAGATTTGAACATTTTCGTCTTTATCCCGCAGGATCCCGCAACTTATATGAAAATCGGCATGTCGGGACAGCCCACGTGTGCATGACATCGCAAAAAGTTTTTTCATTTGTATCCTGCATGCTTATCAAAGCCGTCAACGACCCTGTCTAGTTTTTTTTTGGGTAGCCGCTAAGCCATTTTTAACCAAAACCCTTAAGAACAACATAACTCAACAATGTTACTGTACTCTCTTATCAGACTGCCGATCTCTCTTTCTCGCTTTTTGATCACCTGTCAGACTTTTACCCGACCAATCAGTCTCACTTTTTCATGATAAAGCATGCCACAGAAGGATCTAGAGTTACTGGGAACCTATCGCATGATTTCTGTCTAGCGATCACATACATCACCGATTTCTGTATTAATATTCAACTACTGATAAGCAACACAGGTTTAGTAACTATTTATAGGTAAATAGCAGAAATCAGTGAAACTTCGGTGACTCACTTGTGTACTATAAACTTGGTTCGTCTTTCCGGCGAAAACCATGATCCGACCTTTGCTATACATATGTACAAACTGTGAAACAAGCCTCCCAACGACAACAATGTTTGTACCGCATACCTGCATGTTCGTAATCGGTCGCACGACATTAAATAAAGATAGCAGGTACAAATCCGCCAATCGCTATGAGTACGTTCGGAGAAACTGATTCAAGGCCCACACGCCATACATAACTACATATCTTGTACTGAGAGTAAAAGGATGTCCTACATAGAGATTTGTCGCTCTTGATGGATATAAATGATGGTTTCGATAATACATATACTTTTAGCCACGACAAAACTGGCTTGTCGCGGTCCACACCTTATTATTAGGCTAAATGATAGAGAATTAGTACGCGGGCTGAAAAATTGAGACCAGACGGGCTGAAAAATTCAGCCCGCTTTGTTAATATGAAGGGCTCGAGCACTACGCGGGCTGAAGGATCTTATATATGATGTATTGTCTTCAAGCTACACCACCTTGATATGTGATACAGATATATATCTCAATTAAAATAAACTTATAGCCTACAGTCATGCAAAGGACAAATTCATGTGGCCATAGCGATTCTGGTCTGGGCCACCGTAATAGCAATGAGAGCAAGCTTTTTTAAAAATTAGTGACATCGCGATGGCCAACAGTAATTCTACTTGGCCAATGTAATTCTAGTAATGAGAGCAATCTTTTAAGAAAGAAGCATCGCGATGACCAGCTAAATGTGACATTTGGCAGTGAATGCATCCAGTATATACTTAGCCACTGCACTTCTAACTGAAGCAATTTAATCGTATCAACAGTGATCAAGTCCATCAGAGAAAAGAAAAATGCCAATAAGATGTAATGAGCGTTTGGCGGTCGATCAAGACTTAATTGAAAAGGGACAGGCGAAAGAAGAGTAATGAAGGAGATGTTAGGTGCTGGTGTATGATTACATTCGTTGATTTGAACCTACTGTGGTGTTACCCGATGCCAGTACTTTACGAGCCATCAGATTTATCTCTAAACATACATTATTTATCTAGCGTAACATATATTGAGCGTTCTGGCTGTGCATTTCCATTGAGAATTATTGAATAATAAGAGATGTACTATCGAATCAGAGTTGCTGGACATAGGACACACACTTTAAGTAAGCGTGAATAGGTGCTACATATTCTACTATTAAATATGGAATATGTCACAGAAATGGATATGAGTAGAGTACAAAACCATTAAGCCCGCGTAGTGCTCGAGCCCTTCACATTAACAAAGCGGGCTGATTACTACTAAAATGACAGCCCGTCTGGTCTCAATTTTTCCGCCCGCGTACTAATTCTCAAATGATAATATTCGAAAAGCTCACTGCCGATAGTCCATACAGACACAAGTCCTTTGAAAAATGACAATAACTTTGGTTGATGCACCTGATATCACTTCCTTCAGTGGTAAATAGTCGGACAAAAAAGTCATCACAGTTCCAAAAGCTGTCGTCTGACGATGGTCTTGCACAGTCATCACGCCAATTGCAATATGTAGTTACTGGTACCTAGATGTCCGCTCAGCTACTGCTGCTGGCATGTGGAATTGATGAAAATAGCTGCACTGACCTTATTTAAGTGTGCGCAATGAAATGGTCCTTCCCACACAAGAACACACCTACGACGATAAAAGTTTTGTCTTTGATGAGGCGCGTGCGTATCCATAGCTTGAGGTGCTACTCTGCAGTATTCATCATAGTGTTGTCATCCCTACCTTTTTACACTCATTTATTTATCATAGCGTTACTATACGGGAATCAAAAATGAATAAAGACCAAAGAGATTTATGTATTCTTGGGGTTGACCGAGCAACCTGTATGCCGAGAAAGCCTAAAATGTTACGCAGCAGCGGGTATAACTATGTTGTAATGACAACATATTCAGCCTTAGATAGATAAAATCACATGTTAGTACCATACATACTATTAGATACAATTACTCAGAATAACTGGAGGAGGGGCTAGTTCCAAAGGCAAGGTGTCTTTCTTCTTAATTCAACATATGATATAAGATCTACCGCTTTGACGTAAATGTAATATTCGGCGCTTCTCATTTCAAATAGATTAAAGTATGCCACAATGAAACTAGCATAGTGGTCGATATAGTAGCATTGCTTGATATGTCTGATCAAAAAGCAGGAGATCATCGGTTTACGTAGTAAAGCCATATTATAGTGCCCTAAAAAAAATTAAAAAAATGGGAGACCAGAAAAAAAGACAATTGTTGATATATACATCTATATATTACTGTATTACTATTTAGGCGCCAGCTCACTGGTTAGGTTCGACACATAAATGAAAAATAGGAATGCCGAAAAGGATAACCTGGAGACTACTACACATCAAGTTAGTGCGAAAATCATGTGTTAGTGTATTGACTTTGTGATGTTACGAATTATAATCTACTAGAAGAAATCATGAAGTGTAGATAACCTTCATTTGTTTCCAAAGTTTTATCATCAGATGGTACATTTGGATATTGGGAGAACTATCATATCATAGCAAAACAGTATGCGAGGAACGAAGAGACGTATTATAAGTTTTGTTTGATATGATGTGTGTGTCACGATGGAGGAAGCCATCCTATACCATCTTATTCGCATGCTTTTCCGTAGCAGCTTTTGTGGCAGTTCGCAAAATTTACCATGCATGATTGCGTGCAGAATCAATAGTTCTAATTAAATAATACCCACTTGTTCGTGCTTTAGGCCTGAATAAAGATCATACTTGTCAAGGATGTTGATAGCTGCACGACGCTAAAGGCGATTATCTATTTTATAGAGTCACCATCTCTTTTCTGTCTTTGCCATTTGATATTGAAGCCTTGCTCCAGTCGTCATGATGTTGCTCTTTGTGCCATGCTTTTCTAATAAGAGAAACCTTGTTACATGCTGCATCGATATTGTTTTAATACATATCTAGTATACCATATGCACTGCTGCTGGCTGATAAGTTGAGATGTTAGCGAGGAGCTACTGTACTACTGTGCTGTGTTACATTTTTATGGTTTTGGAAGTCACTGTCAGTTAGTAAACTATGTGACATATTATTTATGTGGTGAACCACGCTATTATACCACCTAAGACATCAAAATAAGATACATAGTCATCTCAGCAACATCATAACACACACGGATACTTGCCACAGTAGCTGGCTAAACACTATGTTTATACGAAAGCCCTTTACTCGAATGATCCAACGTATGGAAGCAGCAAGACAATGAGCATAACAACGAGTAGTAGCTGGCCGCACACTAGCTAGTTTAAAAGTTCTGGTTTAATTTAAATAGAAGACTAGATGACATGCGTCATTAGGCCTATAGTCGCTTCCTTGCGGTACGATATATATGATAAGGAAAGTAATAACAGATAATAAAATGGTGTTGCCAAAACAGAACCATCCCCCACTTGAGAGAAAAAAGCTCTGGAGGGAAGGAATACGAATACATATATTTATATATCTAATCCAAGATATCCTCTGGTGCTGGCTCATTGCTGACATCATGATTCTCGGTTTGATGGCTCAACCGGTCTATTTCTTGAAGGGTCTTGATCAGTGCCGGCCTGGTCTTGATCCATTCAGTGCCGGAGAGGTCAATGTTCGATCGCGGGAGGTGTTTAAAACGTGATCAATGGCTTGCATCTCATTGGGAAGTTCCGGAATTGTACTCAAGAAATAAACGAGCCTCTGTAGTTGTGTCTTGAAAAGGGGAGCCAATTAATGCCTGTTTCGGCAAAGAAGGGAGTCGATGGCATACATTACAGAGCCTCTTCTACACAAGTTCTGATACGTTTCGATCAATCAATAGTACATAGTTTATTTACAAGCCGGATGAGGACATCTCCATCTTAGTAGCTCCAAAATACTTATTCTCAGTTCCGCTGTCTTTTTTTCATTTGTCAAACTCGTTTATTTCTGCTGATGTTATTTTTTAGATGGATAATGCAAATGTTGATACCATTCGAAGTGGAATATTGGGAAGAACAACCGGAGCATATTACCGAACAATTGTTTTAAATTAGTTGACTGAGAGCAGATCAGCAGGGATCATATAATGTATATATATATAAAGAAGCTATGGCAGATGGCCCTTATGTTTACTAGCACCGGTGGGGAGTAGAATTTGAGAAATGAAGATATTATGGGAAGATAGGAAAGAGACGACGAATCGGTGGAGTATGTTGGTAGGTGGAGATGACGGTTAGTAGTGCAAGAAGTGGATTATAGACGTTCGCACACAGGCCACACAACAGGCACAGGCAGAGGTACTAGGTGGGTTGGTTTCGGAGGGAAGTGTTTTGATAAATATGAGGAAAACAAACATCAATATTGACTTGAAGGAGCAGCTTGTATGGTCCGAGCCCGGCAGTCTTGGTTACAACGAGCATATGTATGTAAATATGCAATTGTACGAGTTTCTGTAGTGGAACCGTACAGTATCTCGTATGAAAGTTATTGACTTTTACTTATTTTTTCCGTGAAGAAAGCTGATACTCGTTTTACTGAAGCAAATGATTATTCGAAATGCTAAAATGAGCACGTTATTGTGTAAAATATCATAAGTTATGGTATTTACGACAGAAATTATTGTAATCATAGATCAGGATAGCAATAACATAAATATATACTGACCTTAAGAACTGGCTATTGTTCGCTCTTTCTAGTATTCCGCTTGCGCTTCTTATAGCCAAGCGTTTGTTTTTGGCATTGTTTAGTAGCTTTATCAGGTCAGTAGCATCGGCCATTGCCGCGTCACAGGAGTTATTTTTTTTTACAACGGATTCCACTGGTCCACCGCCAAGCTCATGTCCCCATTGAAACCCACCAAACAAGTCGTCCCTGCCCAATTTGAGCTCGCTCCATCTTTGAGGGAGCCGTCCGTCCACCCACTAGAGAGTCTGTCCACTCGCCGGACGGGTCCGTCCACTCACTAGAAAGTCTGTCCATTCACTGGACGGGTCCGTTCACACCGTCCACCCCGTCCACTTTCCACTAGAAAGTCCGTCCACCCCGTCCATTTTTCAACTTGTTCAGTTTTCAAGCAACCACAAAATGAGATGAAAAGAATAGAACACCTTCGCAAAGTTTACAAGAGATTAGGCCACTGACTATTCCCACGTCACGGTATCCAACTTTGTGTTCTTTTGAATCAAGTGATCAAGTTGATTACGAAATTCTGGTGACATTTTATTTCCTAAAATCGCGACTTTACAAAGATATTTGAATCAATAACATTTTACTGCAAGTGATTTAGCTTCCCTTGATGAACTAGGGCACGCGAGAGGAGGATGTTGTCCTAGGGTATAGTTTAAAACGATGCGCAAATTTTTCAATGTTGACTTTCGCAACGAGGAATGGTTCTGTATAGGGTCACTTTCTAGGTAACACATGTCGACGTCTACAAGATCGTCGATCCGTCTTTGGCATTCCAACTCGTTTTCAGCATTGATAGATTCACCATAAAACATACAAAATGCTTGCCCACGTGTAACTGTTGTTGGTCCTTCCATCATTATTACTTGTGTAGAGTTGGTGTATGGTTGTCGTGGCTTGAGACCACCCCTTTCCCTCCATGACTGTCTTTAATTTAATTCTGGTACATGCTGTCAACTACCCTATCTTCTCAACTTTTAACCGTATACTTCTGCCAGATTATATGACCAAAACATAGTATAATAAAGTTTTATGCGAGCTAAAGTTAATATTGTCGTTCACTGGTTCGTTTTCTTGAAATCCTTGCTTTCAAAAACCGAGCTTTGGTTTTCTTGGCAAAAGCAGTAAAGCTTTATAAGTTGTTTATCTTGGAATAAGGTGGTGTATTGCTTCGTTAGCTGAAATATTTGCTCTGTGGACAACTCGATGCATTCATACACTTTTTCATTAAGAGGATCCATGGTCAAGAAGACATTGTCAACGAATTCTTTCAATCGAGACTCGTTATCTAAGAAATGCGACATAATTGTTATTGAATATTGTAACGAACAAATGAAAAACATTGGTGGCTGATACTAACGAATTACTTGATTACTATTACTATCATTATCAATCTCTATTACGTCTTTCTCTTGGTTGGCTGCGGATGATATGGAACCTTCTGCGGAACGACGATATTTACAACAACGAAAAGGAAAATATTTAATTCGTCCAGCAGACAAAAGAAACGGTTCTATAGGAGGATTGTTGCTATAACAGAGTTCAAGATTGTCTAACGCATCAATTTCTGCCTCATTACGTAACTCATTCTCTGGGCTTATGTCTTCTCCATAAAATACACATGCAGCCTGCAAATGTGTAAGCATAACATTTGAATTGGAGGACATTGGTGTAGGCAGGATTGGCTCAGAAAAAAAAGTGGACGAACGTACGGGGTGGACGTACGGATTCTTGTCAAACTGCACAGGTCGTAGCAGAATTACTTCCTGCTTCTTCAGGTTCTTTAATTGGTCTACAAACAATTAAGGTGTTCGCAAAAAGGGCGAAGCCCGTCCGGATGGGGGTCTTAATTTAGAAGTAGGGTAATTTACCAAATTTGTGGTGATCCATACGGACATATTGAGAGGAATTTTGCGGGCGTTTGGACGGCCGTTCGCCCTTTTTGAGAACACCCTTAGTAAGCGTTAGTATAAAGACGTTGGAATATGCATGCTTTACTCTTCATCTAATTCGCTTGTGGAGACAGCGCTTGATGTGATAAGAATTTGTTGATAATCTTATGAGTAAGAAGCAATAATTGACACTGGCGTGAGACTTAATCCACATGTTCTTCTGTTGGCTCTGCGATACCAATCTCATTTATATCCAGTGTCATAGTAATTGAAATAGCAGCATCTGGAGTTAACGCCCGCGACGCTTTAAAACTGCAGAGAAATCAGGAAATACGAGCATACTATATAGTTCTTCTGTGATTACGGCAAACTGCCGTTATATATATACTTAAGTCTGTGAATTTTTTTTGGATCTCTTTGCTCTTCCTGATAGCACTGTCATCCATTGACAAGAAGGAGTTGAGCATCCTAATACCCTTCGCACAGATTTAAAGGTAAATATTTGGCATATAGTTTCTCCAGATCGTAAATGACCTGCTGTCCATGGTCTTCTTTGACATCCTTCGAGTGAACTGGAATGTGCTTGTTGCTGGCTGTGTGAGTCGCGCGCATTATAAAGCATATCTTGTCCACTAGTGGCTTGACATTCCCTTTATCGATCTTGATATAAGCTCTTTCCAGGCTTGACCTAAACTTCCTTCAAAAGATCATCGTAGAGTATCTGAGCAGAACTTCATGAATTGTATAATCTTTCTAGAGTTAACCTGTCCGTAGTGAGTAACAACATTTATTGGTTTTAGTATTGTTTATTATGCTCTTGCTAATACGACTCTTATAAGGAAAGTGTAAATAATGCCACCTGTCAGTTACACGGCTCTTAATAATTCCATATTATAGATACACGGTCATGATGAGTAACATGGTATAGTCAATTTGGCACCATCATCCGTGCTGAAAGTACAAAGTAGAGATAGAGTTACCAATGATGTTTTGGAAGATTGGCAACTGCGCCAGTCATGCAGAGTGAGTATTATTGACAAATCTTAAGCTTGCTATTGTTATCCATAGGTTCCAAGTGGCTCCGCTATAACGCCTCTTGTTATATCCCTAACTTTATAGGGAAAATAAGATTTATCATGCCGCTGCTGGCGGCGCAGTAGCTTGAATATTGATGATGAGCCCTTTTCATCTGGGCTTGAAATTATTGCTGTGTTTTTTTTTTCTTTTTCACCACAAAAACCAAGTAATCTCTCTCTTGTTGGCCAATTGCTTGACTCTAGTCCTTTTTGTGGTTTATTTTACCCTTAATCAGCCATGAGCAAATTGCCGGCAAACATTTCGCCACTTCCCACTAGCACGCCACCGTCAACCAACAACAATTCAATACCACCAACGTCGAGCGGAGCGGCAGCGGCTGTAGCATTACCGAGCATGCTGTCAACGTCAGCTACGGCGGCACCAGTGGGGACGCCACCTGCAAACACCGGATCACCAATATCGAAAGCAGTTGTAAACCCAAGCCAAATTCAACGAGCGAAAATGCAAAACGTTCCGGCATTCTTGAACAAGTTATACAAGTAACGTGTCACTGAATTTTTTAATTTTTACTTCTTTCCTTTGTTAGGACTTTATAAAATGAAAACTCGGGAAAAAACTAATGTTTTTGTTTTCTATTTACATAGCATGGTCGATGATCTAACAACAGACGATCTTATACGCTGGGCAGATGATGGCATGTCGTTTATTGTGCTACGCCATGAAGATTTCGCCAAACGTGTCCTGCCACGATTTTTTAAGCACAGTAACTTCTCGTCGTTCGTTCGTCAACTTAACATGTATGGCTTTCACAAGGTGCCACATCTTCAGCAAGGCGTTTTGCACGCGGATGGTGAAGCTGAGCGATGGGAATTCAGTAACCCGCATTTCCAGAAGAACCAGCCGGATCTATTGCTGTTGGTAACTCGGAAAAAGGGCAGGGATACCGAGGAGAAAGAACCTGCAAACATAGACATGCATCACATCTTGGACGAAATTTCAGCAATCAAAAAACACCAAATGAGCATCAGCGCGGATTTAAGGACGATTCAGCGGGATAATCAGGTACTATGGCAAGAAACGATGTCTGCACGCGAGCGCCACCATCGTCACCAGGAAACTATCGACAAGATCCTGCGGTTCCTTGCCTCGGTGTTCTCGAGTGATAAGAAGCGTGTGGTTATACCAAGAAAACGAAGGTTCCTGATAGGGGATGCCAATACGGAATATAAAGATGAGGATTTCTTGGAAGAAGGCGAGGACGAGATTGAAGACGGAAGACGGACGAAGGCTCCTCGGCAATCTGCATCGTTTGATATTGATGATTACGTCAATAGCAGCAGTGATAGTAACAATGCCAATGACAGCAGCAGTAGCAGCAACAGCAAATCTATACCCAACATGTCGTACAGCACATCAAATGCTGCGGGTTTGGGAAGATCTGACGTTTCTGATGCACAAGCAACTGAGCTAGCTGCGGCAATTGCACTCAATGATGAAACGAAGCAGCAGAACCAGCAGCAGCAGTTACAATTACAGCAACACTTGAACAATGGTAAGGCTTTGATTTCTGCTTAATTTGGTGGGTGGGTGTTTATGACGTTCTTTTGTACTCACCAATTGTATGCTTTTGTTTTCAGGGCTGATGTCTTCTGGTCCTCAGCAGGGGCAAGATCTTTCTACCGTATTCAATGCTCAGCAACTGCAAGGTTTGCAGAATTTAATTGCTATCGCACAAGCCAATCCCTCGATTCTGAACCAACTGGCCGATGGATCGTTCTACAATCCGAGTGTTCCCCCGACAGTCGATTACACGAATATGAATATCAACACCAGTGATGGTTTACCGGTAAAACCTGAACAGCAGCCACCAGTTGAAGTAAACAACAGCATGTCAACGAATGCTCCTCCGGTTTCGTCATCAACAGCATTACCATCCTCTTCCACATCGATTTTCCAACATAATCCACAACAACCCTACACAGCCATCGCACCGCCGCCACCCACGTCATTACCACAAATCTCGCACCACATCACCTCAGCCACCAAGTCAGCGGATGCCATTAACCAAGATATTGAGGCGCTAGGTGCAAGCTTAGGACTGCTTGCCAGTCAACTGGGCTTTGATCCAAGCAAGTACGACGGTGGTGCTGGTGGAAACAGCTTTATCAACATTGATGATTTCTTAAATACCGGTATGTTTTCAGACCCATCAGCCGTCATCAATGCAATCCCTCACACAATGGTAGGACAATCAGCCTCGTCGGACTCCCCTACTTCTCCAACACCATACACTGTTGATTCACCCTCGGCACCAGGCTCAACTGCATCAAGTACACCTGCAGCAACCACGGCAGCTTCCACTGCGAGCGATCAAAATGCTGCAGCTTCAAAGGAAAACATTGCCGACAATAAAAAGGATGATCAGTCGACGTCATCCCCTGCTACCATCGCTGATAGCAGTACCAAGTAAAGAAGTTATTGTCCTTTCTCACTCGCTCACACATCCCCTCTCTATCTTATCAAACATTCTATTCTCTTACTCTTAGAAAAATCATACAACCTCGCTCTACCCATTTTCAATCAGTTCATGTACATCATCTTTCTCTTTTCTTCTCTATACATACCTTTTCTAACTGTTTCCTTTTTCTTTCATTTCGCACATGTACACTTTTTTCTTTTGTTTCTAACTGTTCGAGTCAAACAATCCGCGCTGCTAACTCTAATACAATTTTTCTGCTGACCGATGGATGCATGAATCATCATTATCATTAATCTTCTTTATTATTAAAATCTTTGAAAGTTAGCTGAAAAATCCAAAAAAGGAAACTCTCATCCATGTAAATTCACAGACAGAAAAAGAGAAAGTAAATACTTACGCAAAGCATTCCCCAAATTCATGGGGGACCTCGGCCGCACTTTTTACCCGTGGGCGCGGGGAAATTGTAGATGAAGCAGGACTTACGCCCGGAGGATGCCTGAGTAAAAAAACAGCCGTTCGCGTGAAACGATGCAACATCCGAAGATTGGTCGAGACAAAGGCTACTAGGAACTGTGAAAGAAAGCAAAGGAGAAGGGGAGGGGGATAAACTATATAAAGAACGCTATAGACGCTTTTAACGACTTCCTGGGTCAGAGCAAGGGGAAGGGGAGGGGGGGATAAAATATATAAAGAACGCAAAGAAGAAGATGAGGCTTTTAAGGACTTCCTCAGGTCCAAGTCAAAGCAAAAAGCACACGCCACCGTCCAGATGGATGGATAGATCTTGACCACAGTCGATGGGCTACTTGACAGGTCGGCTTCTAGGAGCGGGATGACAGTGGAGCATCAATCTTGACTAGCATGGAAATGTCTGTGCACTATCGCCATTCCGAGAAACAAAAGAGATGAACAGTTAATGGGAAACTGTCAAACCACCATCACAAGTTTCTATCGTGCTATACTTACCCATACTTCTACGATGAGACACAGGATAACCGAACACCCGGCCAGTGTAGAAGCAGAGAATCGCAGCCAAGACAAAAACACTTCTTCTAGCTGTAAAAAAAAGATCATTAGAGGGTTTCACACACTGTGCTATCTTTATTTTTTGACACGGCATGCCCATCCTCCTCCATCCCAAGCCGGATCCAGCTATAATTACATTTGTTTTGTGGTTTTACAGCAAAGTTATAGACAGAGAGAGATGGGGTCTAAGCCAATCCAAGTTCAAACAGATCACCGCAGAGCCATCCTATATTAGAAAAAAGAAAACATCTATGAACAGCTGCATACACTTTTTGACATGTCACGGCAGACATCTTCCTGGTTCTCCAAAGACGCAAAGACAAACACAAGCACAGCGATACTTACTATTATGACATCCTTGGCTTGGAGGAAGAGAGCCTTGAGTTAGAGAGAGGAAAAGCAAGAAGGGCACGACCAATTCTGAAAAAAAGAATAAGAGAAGAAAGGGGAGGAGAGAAAGTAAAATTTTTGAGAGATTGCCATACTGCACACGTCATGATCAATAACCCTTTCCCGTCACGCTGCTGTACACGCTGCACACCTTTGACACGTCATCTCCAGCACCCATGTCATCCTACTCACCTATCATACCAATGTTCAAGTCCCCTTTTGCTTATACTTACTATCTGTTATTTGTCCGCAGGACACAATTAACCCAACCAGAATAAAGCGAAACCTGAAGTAGAATGAAAAGAAGAAAGATCATGAGCAGGCTGTTCTTAATATGCAACTATTCCTGACACGTCATGGCATCAGCACCTCCAACAGACACTCGACTTCTCTCCAACTCATCCTCACATTTCATTCCCTACCGTACTTACAGTTGTTGCTTATGTTTAAGGGTGGGATGCAAACAACAAACCGAACCAACCATTTCAAAAAGTCAGAATCCTATTGTAGTAGCAGAGAAGAAAGGAGGATAACATTAGCGACTGTATGCTGTACACACACAACTTTAGACACGTCGAAATTCATATCTTCTTTCGTATATCACATCCACATGCAAAACCTCAAAGTACACTTCACACTTTCCATATTGTACTGTACTTACTCTTGCATTTGTGCTTTGAGTGGAGAAGGACCAGGTTAAGACGAAAGAAAGTCTGTGTCAAAAAAGAAAGAAAGTGAGATAAACGGATCTTAAGAAATCGCTGTATACTCACAACCGGTTGCATACACTCTTCTCACTCACCACCATAAACATACACTCTCCGATCCTCTGATCCGTTCCAATGACACTCACATTGAATAGCTTTGGTTTAGAAAAGTTGACGAAGAGGAAGAAGAGCCCCATGATTGCTGCGGATGCGCGGTTACATAGTAGAATGAACACATATGCTACGCGGCATTTGAGCCAGTTCATTCTATCCAATCAGATTGCTCTCTCATGGTTATGACGCGCCGAGGTGTGTGGCTCCTCCAGGTCAGAAACTTTGCTTTACAGTGAATGTATGTCATTGTGAGTAGACGGGTATCGCATCGAGGAAAGACTCAAAGGATAACCGTCATTAACACGATATGAAGCTCACTTTGAATCCTTCATCATCTGAGAAGCGTCATCGCTACAAACACGCTGAATACAAGTATCAACGTATTCACTACACTATGTATACAGGAGTATCCAAGATCTCATGAGACATGACGATCCCGCACTTGCCGATGTTCCATTTGATAAGAAATCATGGTCTTTGGTGTTGCCTTTCGCCAGGTATACAACATTGTATCCTCTCTTCTACTTTGCATCCTTTTACTATCGAGCGGTAGTACTTACATCAAAGTATCTGCATCAAACCTGTTGATAGGTCCTTCCTATGATATCATACCAAATGCATCGCGCTCGCAAATCGTACAGTAGTATCTAAATCGTTCATCAATTTGGCCCAGTGTCACCGTCCACCGTCTTGAAACCAACATGCGCGTCCAACAACCTGCCAACACCAATGACACAAACGAGCATGGCCAGTTTATGCAGTATTTACTTTGCATCGGTGATGGTGCTGAGCTGTAGGTGCCAACCACTGATGACAGAGTCCGGCTACCAGATCGGATGCTCATGCCACATTACAACATGTACGAGCTCATAGAAACCATTTACGGCAACCTCAACGCACCACATATGGATCGTGATTACCTCATCAGTCGCTCTATCTTGACTTCAAAGAATGTCGACGTTACAGCACCCAACGAACTGATACTCGAACATTTCCCAGGCACTGCACACGAATTCCAGAGCGCTGATACACTGGATGATCCAGAAGATCAAATGACATACCCACCAGAGCTTCTCAATGCAATAAATCCATCCGACCTCCCACCGCATTTGCTAAAACTCAAAGTCGGTTGCCCAGTCATGCTTTTGAGAAACTTGCACACCCAAAGTGGTCTCTGCAATGGGACACGGCTGATCGTACGCTCTTTCCAGCGATATGTACTTGAAGCTGAGATAGCCACTGGGCCTCATGCCGGTAACATTGTCTTGATCCCTCGTATAACACTCACACCATCGGAAACACGCTCCCCTATCCAATTTAAACGCACGCAATTCCCTGTTCGCCTGGCATTTGCAATGACCATCAATAAGGCACAGGGTCAAACTTTTAACACTGTTGGCCTCTACTTACCTGAGCCTCCTTTCACGCATGGTCTGCTCTATGTAGCCATGTCGCGCGTCCGCACCCCGTCGTCTATTAGAATCATGTTAGATCCCGAGAACTCAAGTATCGCGGGTCAGCAAGGCCAAAACACCCGAAATGTTGTTTTCCATGAAGTTCTTCTCTAATTCTCTTTATCTTCTATTCTCTTTATTATCTCCTATTCTCTTTTTTATTGCTTATTCTCTTTTTTTCTCGCCTATTCTCTTTTTTTCTCGCCTATTCTCTTTTTATCAATATCACTACATCATCTTTGTCAACACTTCTTTTCGCATTGCATTCTAAACTGGAGATAGTTAAGTATCCAACTTTGACGACTTTCTATGATAGGCTACTTCTCACTGCACAATGATCTTGCTTTTGATTTTGAAAACAGACAATAAGCATCTAATACCAAAACATTGATCCAACCTCGCTCGACAGGGGGTTTGGGGGGCTTGCCCCTCACTTGGGGTTCAAGGGGGGAACCCCCTTGCGACGCGTTTCCGTTGAATGACACGGAGCGAAGCGGAGGGGCTCATTCATCCGAGCGAAGCGAGGAAGGACCGCTAATATTTAGTAAAATACTTATAACATTTAGTGCGTGTTTAGTGTGGGTTTAAACAACTGATGTAGCTGTGGGGAGATTTCATGAGCTAGTTATGATTGGATGCCGAGTTCGTTTATCATCGTAGATGAGTATTTACAGGGCTTCAGAGGAGAACAAAAAAAAGTTAGTACGAGTCACAGGAAACAGATACACATAAGAATGCAAATGTTGCTGCTGTTGTGCACAAGTAGAGCGTACATAGACTAGCGCACAATCGGGAAGCGTGTCATGGAAGTCCTTCTTTCTACAAATCTAACTAGCCTGCTCTTGCTTATTTCCATGTAGAAGAGGCCAAGACGAATATCCATAGATTACTGTAGAGAGACACGCTACGTGTTACTTCGACTTCTTAGCTATCACACAGTCATCTGCTTAAAATTGATATTCAAACTTCTTGTTGTCTAATCAGCATTTTTGCTCCAAGTTGCCACTACATACTTTTCTGTTGCACACGAATAAATAAACCATTAGCAAGAGTTTACTGCTTCTATTCGCTTCCGCAACTGATCCAGTATCTCTTCTGTGGGAAGAAAAGCAGTTCAGTAACCGTTTGAATGATTCACCACCTTTGACGAAACGGTACAGCTTCCGAAACTTCTATGTTTATGTAATCGCTAGGAACAACGATTCCCGTTTAGCGGATCAGGTTATTCTCAGTGACAGTCTATCTGACTTTCAAGAGCGGGATCAGCAACGTAAGACACTCAAAATCCTGCGAAGGTCATTGACGCGAGAGACCTACAACTGTCGCTTAACATATGTAAACTCCACTCCACCGCACTATGCACTATGTATTCAATTATTGGACCACTTAATTCGAGTTCTCGACAAAGATATCGCAAGGATAGATAAAAGGCCCGTCTTGAGTAATTGACGAGTAAAGACTTAAACAGGGCGAATAGCGAAAAGGTTTGGTATTGATGATAAGCAGATGTTTTAGTCGCAATATGGGTGTTAGTGTTGATACGAACCGTTACCACGTGACATAGGTTGCCTTTTTGGCCTTTTTCATGTTCCAGACAGGAAGTGTCAGAGACGTATCTGTTTTATAAATGTCATGGTGTGAAGTACTGTCTCTGAGCATGACCTGGGATGGTCATAAGAGTATGATTCGCCGTAGTAGTAAAGTTTCTCGTCAAAAAGTACCTTGGGAGTGCAAGGTTCTTCACCTATAAATGATGAGGACTCCAGCATTTAAAAAGTGATGAATTGGGCAAGATACGTAGTATGTACTACTGAGGTACTCAATTCGTATTTCAAGTTAGTGCTCGGCAAGGAAGGCACAGAAGGAAAAGGATGAAGCTTAAAAAATCGTTTTTCTTGCAGAACTCTCAGGATTTCGGTAAGCCTAATTATCGATCTTGTTGACTTTTGTAAGTCAATTAAAACACACACAAACAAAGTGCCCTTTGATTTTATGACTCATTGCTGCCATATGACTCAGGAGAACTTTTAGTAGAATAAAAAGCACTTTACATTAGAGAAGTGTTGAAAGAATATTGCTCCTGCTCCTTCTTCTTTTCCTGCAGCGTCTGCAGCTCTTCGCGGGACTGCCGGCTCTTATTCTTGGCCGTGATAGCCACCTATTTGACCCGACCCGCACGGTTCGACGTCACTCTAGTAATAACCGTACATATGAAATAATTTCTTCGCGCCGGAAAATGTTACTTTACTAATATTTTTAGAGAAATAAAAGAGTGGAAAGGAGAGAGTAGTGAAGCCATCAGAGCTTATCTCGAAGCAGTGTTTTTATATCAATCGTCAACTGACCCCAAAGAAGGAAAAAACAGATTTGACAGCATCACCTGCCAACCCAGGTCATGTCATGTTACACAGACAAGCACACTAGGCTCGTACACTGGACACGCCGAGCAGGTCAGTCATCTCTTTAGGAAAGCTGCCATCCGATCTCTGCGCACTCAGTTATTATGCTTCATAGCTCACGGACTGTTTTCCTTAAGAACAGACGGTCGAACCGATAGCGTCTTCAACCAATAATATTCGAAACTATAACAAACAACAATATACCCATGCTCATCCTTGCTAAACTGTTAAAGATAACTACAACAGCACCGCTATAGCATTCATGGAGACACGAATGACAATAACTCAAGTCCATCTATGTAATTTTGTTTGATATCCAACCCCGTCCTTAGTAACCATGCTTCCACCTATCATATAACCAGAAATGACTGGTACAATAATATGTTATTCTTGAACGTAACAAAGCAGCAGGCACTCTGCATGTTCCATTGCTAGAGTATACCAAGGATAAGGTCGACAGGCTTCCGAACCGCTCGCTTGGACCAAAATGGAAGACCGAGAACCTTGCTACATATTTATACGACCCTCACTGGAAACTGATATCGTTCACATGCTTCACTCAAAAGAAGCTGGAAAACGGACATGGCTGTTACAGCAGATGATATCCAAAAACAACAGCAGCAACCACTGGGGCACTCAGTCAACCGATAGGCAACTTTTATATTTTTGGTACATCAAAGAAAGAACAGGAAGTTAAACATAACTACTCTAACTAATAAAAACATATAATTAGAAAGAAACTTTTATATTGTGCGCGTGTGTATATGTGGTGATTGTTTTGGAAGGAGACGGGGATCGGGTCTAAATGTAAAGCATGAATGTTAGAACTGAATTCCTTCGCCACGTAACTCGCGTTCAATGACTTCGATCACGAGCTTAGGATCGGCACGCTCCACGGGCACGACAGACCGCTCCTTGTCCAACAAGCCATGGAATTCGGAGGGCAAGACATCCTTCTGGAAATTAAAGCCGGGAACTTCTTTGAGGGCAGACTCGACGGCCTCTGAGAACTTGGCAGGATGGGCAGTAGCAAGGCAGACCATGATCTCCTTGCCCTGGGGGTATGCAAGCAATTGGCGACGCTTGCTGACCAGTTCGGCGGCAGTGACACCGACGGAGGTATGTGGATCAAGGACGTATGAAGCCTGACCAGGCTTGTCGTAGAACTCGCGGATCGTAGCAAGAGTTTCCTTGTCAGTGATCATGGCAGAATCAAAGACCTTGCGAGCGTTGAGGACAACAGCATCCTTGACCTTGAAGTTACCCTTTTCCTTGAGCTGCTGCATCCATCCAGCAACAGTCTGACCAGCCTCATCACTCAGCTTTTCGTTTTCTTCGCTGTCCTCAGCAGCCACTTCGGTCTTGCCACTATCCGATTCGGCATCACGGGCCAAGTACCACAAGAGACGTTCAAAGTTGGACGACACCAAGATGTCCATGGCGGGTGAGAGTGTTTCCTTAACATTGCCATCAACACCAGTCTGCTTCTCATAAGCGTTGCTCTCAAAGAATCGATAGAGGATGTCGTTTTCGTTGGTAGCAACAATGAGCTTCTTGGCAGGCAAGCCCATGCGGTACGCATAGTAGCCAGCCAAGATGTCACCAAAGTTACCAGTGGGTACGGAGAAGTTGAAGTTTAAGGCTTCGGCTTCGCTGGAAGCGGGATCAATGTTGAGTGAGCGCAAAAGCGAAAAGTAGGCCTGGAAGTAGTATACGGTCTGTGCGAGGATACGAGCCCAGTTGATCGAGTTGACAGCACCGAGATGGTGGCGGTCGTTGAATTCGCGGTTGCCGAACAGGTTCTTAACGATGTCCTGACAGTCGTCAAAGGTGCCTTCAACGGACAAATTGTGGACGTTCTTGTCGAGGACAGTGGTCATCTGAGCTTCCTGGATCGGGCTGACACGGCCGTGGGGATGAAGAATGAACACCGATACATTCTTCTTGTTGCGAAGACCGTAGATAGCAGCACTAAAAGACAGAGTTTTATAATAAGTGATCCATTTCCTTCCACCCCCTGCCTTTTTTCCGTTTCCATTGTGGCCACTTGAAATTTACCTGCCAGTGTCACCGGAGGTTGCACCCACTACAGTAAGACGGTGGGTCTTGCCCGACTTGTCTTCGCGGTTACGACGCTCCAAGAAATATTCAAACAAGTTGCCAACAAACTGCAAAGCAACGTCCTTGAAAGCGAACGTAGGACCGTGGAACAGTTCAAGAACGTAAAGACCATCGCGGATCTGTGCGAGGGGAGTGACGTCTTGGTGGCGGAAAGTGGAGTACGATCGTTCGACCAGATTTTTCAGATCGGAGCGGGGCATTTCCGATTCGTCAATGTACAAGCTCAAGATCTCGACAGCAAGCTCTTGGAAGCTAAGCTTGGCCCAGTTTTGACGCCAGTTGGCGGGCAAGACGGGGATATGGTGAGGAATGAACAGACCACCGTCAGGCGAGAGACCGGTCATGACGGTCTCTTCAAACGAGTAGTTCTTGGCTTGGCCACGGGTCGATCGGTACTTCATTGCGTTGTGTCAGTTGATGTTGAAGGAAGAAAAAAGCTCGACCTCAAATAGAAAAATTCGGATTTGAGTGGCAGCGGAGCGCAGTGAGTCATTGATCAGGTTCTGATTTGATGGATGGCAACCTCCGCAAAAGTGAACGTGGATAGGATCAGTGGTTGTAGGCCACACACACAATCTGTGAAACAAGCTATGTGCGAAGTTATCGCCATCCACATTAGGAGGTGTTACGATGATGAGATCCACTCTGTTGTATACACAGAGCTGCTATCACGCTATGGAGTCTAATCGATACACACAAATTATGTATCGTAAAACGGGATCTATCCCCCGTTTAAATGGGCTTCTGTGCTTTTAATGGTAGCGTGATTAAGAGTAATAAGTTTAGTGTGACAAAAAGAAAGGACAAAAAGAAAGAGAGAGTGTACGTTGGAGAGTGATGGGTGGTGGGTGGTTCATGCAATTGCTAGTTCTTCTGGCGATGAGGTGACTTGGAGTGGCTGCCTGCGCCGAGAGGAACATCATCATCTTCGTCGCTTTCTTCCATGATGCCTTGGTTACCCGCTGGCCCGTTATTGAACTGATTATTGTATCCGTTGTTCCACATATTGTACATCATCATGTTTGGCGGCATCATTGACATCCGAGGGTCCATCATGGGTGGCATCATCATGGATGGGTGTTGGTTGTTGGCACCACTACCGCCGCTGCTGCTTCCGCCGCCACCCATCATACCGCCCTGCATCATCGACATACGCGGATCCATCATGGGTGGCATCATCATCATGGACGCGTGTTGGTTGTTGCCACCATTACCGCCGCCACCCATCATGTTCGGAGGCATCATCGACATACGCGGGTCCATCATCGGTTGCATCATCATCATTGACGCGTGTGGGTTATTGCCACCACCCATCATGTTGGGAGGCATCATGGACATGCGTGGATCCATCATTCCCATGCCCATGTTCATTCCCATCATTGGATTCTGAATATGCAGATAATTAGCATCTAGTCGTGATGATCGTTGAATTCATTTAGACTATCACTACTAACCATCATGGCCTGTTGTCGTTGTTCCATCATATAGCGCTCGCGTTCCATCATCTGGTCCCTTTCGGCATTCACCAAGCGATTCTTGGATTTATCGTTCTTTTCATGTTCGATTTGGGAAATCATGCCAACCAAACCAGCACGGGGTGCGCTCTGCTTCTGTGCAAGTTGAACAAGAGGCTGACCCGTGGCCTTGGCATACTCCGTTTGGTCGCGAATGGATGGACCTTGTTCTTGTTTGACGGAGCCCAGCAAACTGTTTGGATTCGCAAATTCCTCACCCAGCTGTGGAATGACAGGGCCGTCTTCATCAATTACAGGCTGGCCCCGGGCAAGGTTGTTGCTTTGTTGCTGATAATAATAATACTGCTGCTCGTATTGATTGTACATGTGAGGATCCATGTCATAGGGCTGCTGCTGCATTGGAGGCATGGCACTAGCCCGATGTAATTCTGGTGTACTGGAGCTCTGTGGCAATTGTTGTTGCTGCTGCTGTTTAGGCCAGCGAGACTTGGGTTTATGGGGTATGTATTGCTCAGTGCTGCTAGCGTCATCGTCGTCTTCGCTTTCTTCTTGCTCGCTATCCTCGTCTGATCCACTCAAGCTTGGCCGTGGGCCAACCTTTCGTACTTCTGCTATCTTCTTCTGTTCTTTTTCTTCATCTGATTCGTCGCTATCGTCGTCAGCATCACCGTCCTTGGACAATTGCTTGCCTTTTGTGGCAGCAGCAGCAGCTGCTGGGGTATCGTCAGACTCAACACTGCCTCGTTTCACTGATGCTGTATCCTTTTCCTTGCTGCTCTTCGTATCTTGTACGGATTCCCGCAGACTGGAGGAGTCAGTCTTGATTTCGGGAATAGAAAAGCTGCTTGTTGAGGCAGCCAGCTTGCTTTCGAGAGGTGTTGTTGGAGAGGAATCCTTGGCGTTGATTGGCATTTTGGACGATGATCCATTAAATACTGAGTCGTCATCGCTATCACTATCATCGTCCTCTTCATCCTCTTCCTCATCACTTTCATCACTGGCATAGATAACTTTGCCAGATTGGCTTCGAGGAGGCATGGCGGATGCACGTTGCTGCTGCTGCTGCTGCTGCTGAAATGATTGCATTGGGCGCTGTTGCTGTTGTGACATCATGCTTGCATGACCTCCTGGAGGATACATCGAGCCGCGGGCAGGTCCTTGTGGGCCGTTGTTCATCATCATAGTACCTCGAGGGTTCGACGTTGGCTGTTCGGGATCGGCAGACACAGTGCGTTGCCGTGGTTGACGGAAATTGTTGTTGTTTGCTTGTGCGATTTGAGGCATGCTGTTCGTTCTCGGACCCATACCACCGCCAGCGCTTGGTGCACCAGGCATACCGGGATGTCGTTGGGAAACTTGTTGCTTGAGCTTGTTTACCGTCATTTGCGTCATCAAGGTTCTGTTTACGGCCATGTTGTTCTCTCGCACATTCATTTGATTAAGCTCGTCGACCTCGAGGAATAGACGATCTCCAGCAATGATTTCACCAAAGTTCAGTGCGCCAGGGTTGGTTGGGTCACGGATCAGTTGCGAAGGACGACCATAGAGCTTGAATACATCAAATGTAGCTACCAGCCACTCGACAAGCTCGATCGTGCTGGATGTCATCATGAGTACGCTTGTGGTGTTTGCTGCAGAAGCACCAGCAGTGGCATCTCCGCCTTCTTGAGATTGTTGTTGTTGCTGGTCTTCTTCACCAGTAGTAATACGACCATCCACCTTGAGCAGCGTAACCATATCGATCAACTGAGGAGTTTCAGGATAAACTGTGTAGGCCTGTGTCACATTGACTAGCGTCATGATAGGGTGCTTTCCCTTTTTCGACTCATAAAACTTGAGCTGACCATGCGACGGCACTGATTTTTTGCCGAACAACTTTTTCTCATTGCGTCGATCCGATACAACAACCCAGTACTTTTGCCATTCGTTGGCGCCAGCAAAGCGCACCTGCACGAAGCCTTCCATCTTGGACTTTGCCTTGGACAACAAATCCTCCTCTTCGTCGTCATCATCGTCGTCGCCTGTCTGAACGTTCTTGTTGCGCATAATAAACTTTTTAGTATAGATCTCGTGGATCCGAGCACCTTCATAGCAAGACAATCGGATTGCACGCACCCAGCGCTCTAGTTCTGAATTACGATCCGTCTGACCGCTGTTATCATCCACGTATTCGAATAGATAGCGACTCGTTCCACCCGTCTTCAATGAAACCATGCCGTGCTCGTTCAATTCAACCGTCGTAGCATCCGAAATATTTACATAGTGTGGCAACACTTCACCATCGCCGGGCGTGTCAGCATCCCACAAGGTCAAAACAGGTCCGGCCAGCTCGACATAGGATCGGATCCATGTTTCGTCCCCGCTTGTACGCTTGTTTTCGGCCTTGCGATAGAGATAGCCCTCCATGTAAACCTTCCACTGGTACTGCTCGTACAACCGCTGGATGTTTTGCAAGTCGGGTGGCAAAGCCATAGCTGCTGCCGCATTGTTGAGAGGATCGGCTTTGATGAAGCGTGCTGGACGGTTCGAATTGATCTGGACAGCCGCTTGGTTTCGATATGAAACAGGTCGAGCTACAGGAACAGCCGGTACCTGCTCCTGCTGTTGCTGTTGTTCATGCATTTGCAGCAAAGTCTGTTGGTGGTGCTTGGGCGGCGGGGGAGGACCAGAATGGAACCCTTCAGTGCCAGCAACCATACCACCAGCATCAAGTGGTCTATCGTCGTCGTCATAGACTTCGTCATTGCCCTGCCACATTTCGCCGTCAACCATGATTCCCGGGGGCGGGGACGGAGCATACTGTTGCTGTTGCTGATACTGGTGATGTTGCTGCTGTTGCTGGTGTGAGTAATCATGATCATAGTTACCACCGCCTGCAGCATATTGCTGAGTAGGTGGCAATGGCAGTTCTTGGTCACTGCCGGTATTGTGGTGGTCCGAAATTCGTAGGTTTTGGAATCCAAAGTCAGTCATGTTGGTCTTGTGGTTTGAAGGAAAGGTTGGGGCCGCGCAGATATAATATACGTAAACGTATTATTGGAAAAACAAAGGGCGATCGGGTAGAATGCCTACTGTCAAGTTTGATAAACGAGATGAGGTAAGTTGGTTAGACACAATACAGCAAGGTAGCGTGATGATGACCCGAGCTTGTCATGTTGTCTTATTACCTCTCTTTAAGTATCCTCGACCTTCAAAAAGCGGTTGTGGGTGTTATTTGTTCGCTTTACTGCTAGTCACGGGGTTTCTTTATGGAAGAAACAGAATATATTTGATAAAAGAAAGGATATGGTAAGGGAAGAAGGAAGGGTCGGAGGAGAAAGGAAGCACAGCAGAAAAAAAAACACGTTTTGGGTATATAGAGTATCTTGAACCTGGCACCCTTCTTCCCTCTCTTTGCGCCGTTACACAGGCAGTGTCAAATACGTGCGCCTGGACAGCACAAGTGAAAAAAGAGCGGAAAAAAGAGCCTATTAAGGCAAATGGGGTTGGTTGACGCGAGAACTTTTCTCCTTATATCAGTCTTGTTCAAAAACAAATCACTTTTATTCGCTTGATTTTGTATTTTGACAGGGCGGCAGTAAGCAAAGTCATAAAGAAGCATTGTGATGGTAGTTGGTGGCAGCACTAAGTCGTGAGAAACAAAATCGATCTAATATAATAGGCGCTGATATCTTACATGACCTGAGCCTAGCCCTATGATAAGAGATATAACTACTTTATGAAACGCTCTCATTTGCCGTACGACACAACAAATATAGCATAACAGCTGAAAGAAGAAATGGTAGGGAACAATGATGGTTGCCCTCATTCTTGGTTTTAAGGATGCTGTTCAGAAGGTACGAATCATGGCGCACTTTGCATTTGTTACTCTTTTTGTAAGATTACACTTGTAGCCCAGGTGCATCGATGCGGATTTGCTGAGAAGCTGTGCCAGTATTGAAGACAAAATGTGCAGCTGCTCCTGGGGAAGCAATACCTGGTAGTATTGAGCAAATTTCACTAATATTGCGTATCATAGCATTGGAGTTACTGTGTCAACGTACAAGATATAAAAGAATGACTCATTCTTCCATCAACGTAGCAGCGGCACTACTGTGCAATGGTAAAGAGGTCGGTCTATTGGCATATTACTTTTATAACTGATTGATTGCAAGAATGCCAACTATTAAAAGATGTTTATGAGCCTCAAGATGATAACTTGAAGAATGTCTTTGCCGCAACGCTTAAACGCAATGTGAATCCCTACAGTATGCGCACTTCCAGCTAACATTACTCACAGTTAGCAAACTCATATTTTTTTTTCTTATTCGCCTCTTACCCAGCTCGCCCACTGTGGGAATATGGAGAATTTAATTTGAGAATGAGAAAAACCATTTGTGGAGTTGAGTAAAGGATAATTGTAGAGGATCGCTACACGCGCTGCAAATTTCATTCCATATACCGGAGTTTGTTCTCCATCGACATTGACTGCTTTGCAGACGATCACAGTGGCAACTATATTGTTCGTTGCAACTGTCTCCATTGTGCAATCTGGAACAAAATTGATGATCTCGCAGCAAATCTGAACATATATCATCTTCTTGAACGAGCCCTTGAGCTCCCTCCTCGCTTCGCATGAAGAAGTCTTACATCAATATCAAACATGTACATACAAGTTTAACGGGTGAAAAGTTAAAAGAAACAATTTTTATTTGGTACATTTAACTACTAATTACTAATAGGGTGTCGATGTCTTAGCTTCTCTGCTCTTAAGCAGATACTGACAGGAGCAACCACTGGAAGGTGCATCGACATCTGCTCCCGTAACCCTCTCACCACAAAGCTAGGGTCTTGTCTTGGTCGCTTTGTGGATCACGGAAGGTCGATTGGTATTGAGATGCCCAGTCCGGTCTCACCAATCGCGATCACTTACCTACCTATCTTATACAGTAAGTCGCTCCGTGTCAAAACAAGCATCAGCACCCACCCCTACACTTACCTACCCTCACACAGAAAAAAAGGAAGGGACTTACCATACGTGATCGAAAAGAGAAGAGAAAAAGCGATGAGTCTAGCCTTGAGAGTCGATGTTGAGAGTCGATTGCCGAGAGTCGAACGCGATCCCCAGTGTCACCCTTGGCTCTTCCCTTGGTCCTGGTGTTGCCTCCGTTGCGCCTGTCCAACCCTTATTTCCGGTAATCCTGGCTGCCTCCAACTGGTCCCTGCTTGGTTTGTCCAGTCTCGCGTTCAACGGTGTTGGTCACAACCGGTCTCCTAGTGGACCAGAGGACGGAGGAATCCTTTTCGGTTTCTCGCCATAGAAATATGGAGTGTCCTTTTGGTTGGATGCCTTGTCTCCCGGTCTGGTCTACTATGGTGGGAAAAACCTAACTTATACAGTAAGTCGCTCCGTGTCAAAACAAGCATCAGCACCCGCCCCTACACTTATCTACCCTCACTCACATTCACACACACAGAAAAAAAGGAAGGGACTTACCATACGTGATCGAAAAGAGAAGAGAAAAAGCGATGAGTCTAGCCTTGAGAGTCGATGTTGAGAGTCGATGTTGAGAGTCGATGTTGAGAGTCGATTGCCGAGAGTCGATTGCCGAGAGTCGATTGCCGAGAGTCGAACGCGATCCCCACCATAGTAGACCAGACCGGGAACAAGGCATCCAACCAAAAGGACACTACCATATTTCTATGGCGAGAAACCGAAAAAGGATTCCTCCGTCCTCTGGTCTCACTAGGAGACCGGTTGTGACCAACACCGTTGAACGCGAGACTGGACAAACCAAAGCAGGGACCAGTTGGAGGCAGCCAGGATTACCGGAAATAAGGGTTGGACAGGCGCAACGGAGGCAACACCAGGACCAAGGGAAGAGCCAAGGGAAGAGCCAAGAGAAAGACCAGGAGGAACCAAGGGAGTGAAGGAAAAAGGAAAAATGTAAGGAAAGAAAGAGTGAAGAGAAAAAACGAAATGGCTTGAAAAATGTGGGCGTATTTATAT